TTAGTTAAGAAGGCAAAGAGGTCTTTAAAGGTATTAAAAAGTAATAATATCGATAGAAGTAGGATTAATATACTATTAAAATTATCGTCGGCGGCTTTACTAGCGTCGAAATTATCGTAAGATACCTTAATAGTATTAAGGACTATAAGAGACTCGCCGGGCTCGTTTACAGCCGATTACGCTATAGTAAGAGGGTTAGATAGGTTAAGAAAAAGGTTAAGATCTATATCTCTAGCTATAAGCTCGCGATATAGCTATTTAATAGCGTTATATAATATATCGCGGCGTTAAGAGGTATTAGCCGCGATATATTATAAAGGCTATATAGGCACTTATTATAGTATTAACCTTATTACCTAAGCTCCTATACTACCCTATATACCTATACCTCGTTTATATATAGCGGGCTAAGAGGTATATAATTAGCTAACGAAAAGTAAATTATAGGTCTATCTATATAGCTAGTACTTTTTATCTATATAAATAGCACTACTTATTATTATATAGCTTATTATAAATAAGCTTAATAAGCCTCTAAAAAGTCTTAATATTAATTAAGTATTTAATAATAATTTTAATAATATAGCGATTTTATTTTTTATTATTATTATTTCTATTTAATATATATAAAGATTTCTTTACTTTCTTAATTAATTTTTATTATAATAATAATACTTATCTTATTAAAGCCTTATCTATTAATAAATATAAGATTAATAGTATCTCTTAATTTATATATATTATCTTTTAGTATAATTATAGCTTTAAGTAAGCCTTTAAGAGTATAAGTATCTAAAAAATAATATCTTAAAAGCTTAATTATTTTATTAAAATTATTACTTTAGTTATTAAGTCTTTTAGCTAAATATATATATATATATAATAACTAAAAGTTATTATAATTATAAATAATCTCTTAATTTATTTATTTATAGAGTAATACTATTTATAAAGGATAAAAACCCTCGCTATATAAGTATTTTATATCTTTTTAGGTATACGCCTTTACCCTTATACCGCGCTAGCTATTTTTAGTATATAAGTATAAAATAGTAATAATATATTAAAATATATTATAAAATCTTAATTAAATCGTATTTTTATAATATAGCTACTATACTATAAAGTTAATAAGGCATTAATAAAGCTTAATTCGCTTAAAAATATATCTCTATAGTTTCCCTTTAATATTATTATATTTAGATATATATTATTCCGTTTTAAATCCCTTTACTAGCTAATAGCGCTTATAATAATACCCTTATTACTATTAATTACGCTTATAGCCCTAACCTCGTCTATCTAGCTATAGCGCTAATAAGGCTTAATTCGCTTAAAAAACGAGTTTTTATTATTTCCTTATAATATTATAATATTAAGGGTATATTCTTTTAGTTTAGGTCTCTCTATTAAGTACCTTAACTATACTAAGCTCTAGGTATAACTATAATTATAGCTATATAGCTAAGATAATATTATCTTATAAAGCTAAGGTAGGTATAGTTAGTAATACTATTAAAGTAGTTTATAATATTATAGACTAAGCTCGAGTAATAGCGCTACTATAGAGAGGTATTAATTACGATATATTACGTTATATAGGTATCTATTATATTATACTAAAATAGTAATTATATAACTAAGCGCTTATATTAACTTATATTTATATACCTTATTTATTTATAGCGGATTAGTTAGTATATAATTAGCTAGGAAAAAATATAGACTTAAAGTATTTATATAATAAGAGTTTTTATCCTTTATAAATAATATTACTTTATTTATATTATTTTTTATTATTATATAATTATATAATAAAAGAAAGAAAAAAAGCTTATAATTAAATATAATAATAAAGCTTAAAAGATAATAAATATTATTTATAAAGCTAATTTAATTTATAGCTTCTTTTAAAAGAAAGATATCTATAATAATAAATAGATTATTAAAAGATAATACTTTAATAACTTAATATTAATTTAAGTATTTATTAAAGAGCTTAAAAAAGTTAAGATTAAAGGTAATAAATTACTTAATAATAAAAGTTACTTTAAAGCTTTTTTTAGATTTACCTTTAATATTATAAAATATAAAAGAAATTATTAAAAATCCTTAAGTTTAATATTATTTATTAAATTAATTATTTTAAGATATTATTTTTAAGCTATAAATATTATAGACTAAAAGATAAATATTAATTTTACTTTTAATTTTATTAAAAAAGAATATTATTTTTAATAATTTATTAAAAAACTTAATAAGTTTTATAAAAGCTTTATTATCTTTACTTTAAAAATTATAATAATTAATAAAAAAATAAGGTTTTTAAATAATATTTATTAAAGTCTTTTTAATATATAATAATAGCTTTATATATATTATTTTATAATTAATATTTAAATTAAAATTAATTTTTATTAAAAATATAAAGAAATTAATAATAATAACTTTAATATTATTATTAATAATAATAATATTAACTTATATATAAAGTTATTAAATTATTAATTTAACTTTAATCTTAAAAGCTATAAATATATATAATAAAAAGTTAAAAAAAATATCTTAAGCTTAAATATTTAAGAATATAATTATAAAGATATATTTAAAGCCTTTTACGTTATTATTTATATTATTAATTATAATACTTCTAAAGACTTATAAAAATACTTTATTAAAGCTTTTAATAATTATTAAAAGTATATCTTTTAATATTTATAAGATTAATATATATTATAATATAAATAATAAATAGAATATTATATTAATTATTATTATAACTTTAATTAAAAAATTAATAACTTAATTAAAATTATTTATTTAAATATTAAATTTTATTTTATAATAAATATATTAAACCTTTAATACTTTTATAAAGTATTATAAATAATAATTAAAAATAAAGCTTATTTATATATTTAAAAAGCTATTAAATAACTTTAAAAGTAATAACTTTAATATATTTATTAAATTTAATTAAATAAATTAAATTAATAACTTATTTATTTTATTATTTATTTTTTTATTAAATAATATTACTTTATCTTTATTATAATATTTAATTAATATAAGCTTTAATTATTAAAGATTTATATAAATAACTTTAAGTATTAATATAGCTTATTTTATAATTATAAAATCTTTATTTACTTTATTAAAGATTAATTATTTTATTATTATTAAATTATTCTTTATTAATAATTTAAAAAGCTTTTAATTTATTTTTTTATATTATTATAAAATACTTTACTTTTAGGCTTATTTAATAATTATTTATAAAACCTTAAAAATAATTACTTTAATATTTTTAACTTTATTATTATAATTAATAATTATAATTAATTATATTTTAATATTATTAATAAAAAGCTTTAAATCTTTTAATACTTTAAAATTATTAATAATTTTATTATTAATAATATTAATAATTTTATTATTAATAATATTAATAATAATAATATTAAAGTTAATTTTATATAATAAAATTAAGCTTTAAAGTAAATATATATATAAAGCTTATAAAAGACTTAAAGTAAAGGTAAAGATAAAAATAAGGCTTAAAGCTATAAACTTAATTAAGTTATTAATTAAAGAATTTAATTTTTAAACTTAAGTATTTATTATAATTACTTATAGTTTAAGCTTAAAGATAAGCTCTTATAATTAATATAAATATTATAAATATTATAGCTAGCCTTAAAGAGGTTATAAACTATAAAAGTATTATAAAATAGCTATAGCTATATTTATTATTAGCTTATAATATTATAAATTACTTTAATAATATTATAAATTACTTTTATTTTAGCTTTATAAAATAAAGTTATTTTAATTATATAATTATAATTATAATTATACTTAAAACTTAATATAATTAAAGGACTTAATATAAAGACCTTAAAGTAAAAAAAATATACCTTTAATATTATAATATTATAAAGAAATTATAAAAATATATTTTTTTAAGTAAATTAAACTTAATTAATATTATAATTAAAGTAAATAAAGTTAAAGATATAAATATAATTATAAATATTAAAGTAATTAATTAACTTAATAAAGGAATTTAAAATAAAATAATATATATTTAAATATAATAATATTAAAGAGAAACTATAAAAATATATTTATAAGTAAATTAAGCTTTATTAATACTTTATTAACTTTATAATATAATTATTATATTATATAAATATAATTTAATAAAGATTTTAAATTATATTTTAATATATTATTATTATTTTATATTTATATATTAAAAATAATTAATATAATATAAAAGTAAAGTATAAACTTAAAAAAAATATAAAATAATTATATAACTAGACCTTTTTATTTATTTTAATAATATTACTTTAATAATAATTAATTATTTTAACTTTTACTTTAATTTTTTATAATATTTATAATAAAGTTAACTTTTATTTTTACTTTTTTAAAGTTATTTATTAAATTTAATATTTTTATACTTTAATAATCTCTTTAAGCTTATATAATAAAACTAATAATAAGTATTAAATAATTAATTTATTAATTATAATTTAATTAAATAATATTATTTATTATTTTATTATTAATAATATATATTATAATAAAGCTAGCTTTAAGAAATAAATAATTAAATTATTAATATTAAATATATTATAAAAAAGTAAAATAAAGTTATATAACTTTATTACTTTTATATATAATATAGCTCTTTTTTCTTTATATTTATTTCCTCTTTATAATATTATATAACTTATAAATAACTTAAGCTATATTTAAGCTTAGACTTTAAAGATTAACCTTTTATATTCTCTTCTTTAAACTTATATAATTAATAAATAACTTAATTTAAGCTTAATCTTAATCTTTAAGGCTTAGCTCTTAATACTTATATAATTTAATATACTATTATTACTTTTAAGATATTTTAGTTTATAGCATTTAAGTAGAAAATAAATAATATCCGAAAAGCATATCTCTATATTAATACAGCCTGATATTTACTTAACCTTCTATAGTAGCATTCGACGGGGGTCCTCAATATACTCCTTCAGCTTAACGAGGAACTGCACAGCTTCCCTGCCATCTAATAGGCGGTGGTCGTATGTTAAAGCAAGGTACATCATGGGACGAATCTCAATCTTGCCATTGACGGCAACAGGGCGGTCCTTGATGGCGTGAAGTCCAAGGACGGCACTCTGTGGCAGGTTAATGATCGGCGTGCCCATAAGGGAGCCGAAGACACCACCGTTGCTGATTGTAAACGTGCCACCCGCCATGTCTTCGATGGTCAGCTTGCCGTCGCGCGCCTGTATTCAGTGATTAGTAGATGTCGAAACGTTTCAGCCCGGGAGTCCACGCACCTTCTTCCCCATGTCGGCGATGGCCTTCTCGATCCCCACCATGTCCATTGACTCCACGTTGCGGACCACAGGTGTAACAAGACCCTTCTCAGTGGCAACCGCAACGCTAATATCGACGTAGTCACGGTACACAATAGTGTCACCACCATTGGGGCCCTCAATGGATGCGTTCACGGCGGGAATGTCTCTCATCGCGAGGACAGCGGCCTTGGAGAAGGCACTCATGAACCCAAGCTTGACGCCCGTCTTCTTCAGCACGTCATCCTTGTACAGTTTGCGGAATTCCATGATGTTAGACATGTCGACCTCGTTGAAAGTGGTCAGTGAGGCGGCGGTGTTCTGTGACTGCTTGAGGCGCTCGGCAATGCGCAGGCGCATTCGGTTCATCTTGATCTACAGCAGCAAACATGGTCAGCCAAGTCCGAACGTCCAAGCCGTGGTCGGTGACACATACTCGACGCTCCTCACGACCACCAGCGGTGGCTGGAGAGCTGGGGGTGGCAGGCTGTTGAGCGAGTTGAGCCTCTTGCTTGGGTTGTTTCGGTGCCTCGGGTTTGGTGGGCGGTGGCTGCTCTGGTTGCTTAGGCTCTGGTGCAGGCTGCTTGTCGGATTCTGCCTTCTTCTCGTCACGCGCTGGCTCCGGTTTGGTCTCGTTTTTTCCGCCGCTCTGTGCAGACGGTTCTGGCTTCTCGCCCCCGGCACTGGGCGAGCCACCGAGCTCGATGCGGACCAGGTCCTGCCCGACTGTGACGGTGTCCTCTTCGCTGACGAGAAATTCCTTGATGGTTCCGGCCTCCGGGGCATTGACTGCGACGTCGATCTATGTGTTGTCGGTGCTGTCAGCGCGAGGAGCCTGGCCGCCTGTAGTCCCAGGCAGAATAGCTCGTCTCAGCGTACCTTGTCGGTTTCGATCGTGGCAATCTCTTCGTCCTGTTCGACGTATTCGCCAATCCCCTTGGAGAATTGCTTCAACGTTCCTTCCGATATCGATTCGGCCATCTGCGGCACCTTGACGACCTTGTCTGCGTACCCGCGGACGACCTGCATCATTGCGGGAAGCGCCACAAGCGGGCTACTGCGAGGTCGATGCTGCATTGGACGCAGCGACGCCATGCGGGCGGCGACGGCTATCCTTCTGGACAACATGGCGGGCTGCGTGTGCGTTGGGCGCTTGATCAGTGTCGGCGTTCGCAGCTCTGGCTGTCGATGTGCAGAGTGACAAGAAGGAGTGTCGCCGTGGGAGCTGTGGAACGGACTGCCAGGAGGTGAGGCGCGTCGGAACCACAGGCGGTGCCTGGCGACCTCTCTTCCGTATTCTAAAGTACCTTTGGCGCGTTCGATTCCCGAAGGGTACTTTGCAGTACATGCATCCCATTGAGAAAATTTCGGGTGGTAACTTGCGTAACCAGCTTAGCCGGAGCTCGGAACCTTGCCCTCGTTCCAATTGGCTACGACTGTGGCTTCCCGGTGAGTTGCCGGCATATCTCGGTCTGCGGAGCCGTCTTGCTCGCGCCTACCCTATACAATGTGCGAATGCGCGACACATATCAGGACCCTGACGCTTCGGCATACTATATGGGCAACGGGATACTTCTCGTATGTCCTTTGGAAACCATTGCTTACGCATATGCCGTCCCCGTGTAGTCGACTTTAACTGACACTCGCTCAACCGTGGTGCAGTGGTATTGTGATATTATGTACTTGTACGGCAAACCGGCCCCCGACTTGCAACAAGCTGACCGTCAGTACGACCAACTTACACACAAGGCAGACGCATGCACCGCAGCCCGATAGCGAACGCCAATTTGGCATATGCACCAGGCCGCATGCATAGGGCAACGGCGAGACCGCTCGCGCGTCACGCTTCGCGGCAGTAAACGTCAGCCACGGTACTCTCGAGTCCGCGCTTGTTTTGCTATTCGTCGCATGAGACGCCAGTTTGCGGCAACGAGGAACGCAGCTCGTCGCAGCACCAGTATTCGCCAGGCATTGCTGAGATGAGTAGGTAAATGCCGAGGACCATGCTTCATGAGAAGCGCAGCCACGCCGGACATGGGCGGCAGATTCGTACAATACGGATACCAAGGAGAAAGCCTTACCTGCAGCGCCAGGCACAGTCGCAGTTACACGCGCCCTTTTGCATACACAAGCCTCTGGGCCATTATCGGACAAAATCGAGCATGACACGTATAAGGCTTCGACCAGCCGCTTCTTTTCGCTGCGATGAAAGCGGCAGGGTGACAGTGAGGTACGTACCCACTGCCTACTGGGTACCTAACAGGCACGCCAGGTCAAGCAAGCCAAGCGGGTCGAGCCAGGCAACAAGGCAGCAAGAAATCCCCAGCCAATCCCAATTCCACCAAAAACAACCGCGAAGTACGGCAAACCGGCCGTACCCATCGACGTCAACTCGAAGGCTCGCCGTGAGAACCGATCGACCTGCTGCGACACGACACGATAGTTTCCAGCTCGAACCCCATACTACACCAATTGGGACCCGAGAGGGAGGAAGACGCCGGAGCTACCAGGCCACGCACCGCGAGCTTCACGAACGGCACGGCGAGGGACGAACATCCGAGTCGACTCTAATACAAACAGCCAGAGAGATGTCTTCGCGGCGAGCAGCACTGTAAGTCCCGTCAACGTGTGATGGTGCGGGACATGACACGCTAATGAACACTCCAATTGTAGGTCCTTGTATCGCCGGTCACTGAGACTGGCACTGGACTGGGCTGTTCAGCGCCAGCTCTGGCGCGGCCAGGCTCTGTACATTCGGTCACTGTTTGAGGCAAACCGCCATGTGGCCGACCCGAGGCAACAAAGGGTGCGAAGATTAGACAGATGCGACGGCTGCTAGCAATTTGAGCTGCGAAGAGTGCTAACACGACGACCGGAGCAGGCGTTATTGTCCGAGACCGAAAAGCTGCTCGACAGTTGGAAACACCCCGACCCCTATGTTCCGCCGACGGCCCCAGGAGGCATGTTCAAACCGGAATCGCCGTTCGGCGGGAGCGAGTGACGTACACGCTAACATGTCCAAACAAGGTTCTAAATACGAACGCAACCTCCCTTCGCCGATCCTGGAACGTGAGTCCATCGACGTCTCCAATTCTCCATATAGTCTGTTGCTGACGTACACCTTTCGCATTTCATTAGCCCCCCCGAATCCCATCAACCGACATTAAAGGGACGATGATTGAGCTACGAGGGGAGATTCTCGAAGCAGGGGGATGGCGTGCTGTACATAGACCAAGGATCGCAATCAAACAATGATGGCGCAATTATGGCACACGTAGATGTTTGTTTGGACATATAGTGAGCGATGGACGTGGCTCGTGTGCACGTCCGACGTTACCCCTGGACACCCAAGACCGCCGAGAAGTGCATATTGCTCTTGCATCTTAGCACAACAAGCCGACAAAGGACAAACGAGAATAGCATGCGAAGGGAAGAAATTCAGTTTTGAAGTTGTTTCTCATTCATGATGACCATTGCCGTGGGGGATTATAGTACAACCCAGACGCGTGATAAAAAAAAAGACCAAAGTAGCCGTGAACCCTGAACCGTGACCCCATGTCGTAGCACCCAAAGCAATCAACCGTCGCAAGTAAAACAGAACACAACCATTTACAGCTCCTGGCTCGGACCCTTGCCACTCTTGCCGGTCTTCTTGGGCAGCAGGTCTGGAACGAGAATTAGCAATCGAACAGCCACCAGTCCGGAATAGACGACACTCACTTTGGTGAATGTTGGGGAGGACGCCACCCTGGGCAATGGTGACGTGGCCCAGCAGCTTGTTCAGCTCCTCATCGTTCCGGATGGCGAGCTGGAGATGACGGGGAATGATACGCGTCTTCTTGTTGTCACGAGCAGCATTGCCAGCCAGCTCAAGAATTTCAGCGGCGAGGTACTCGAGGACGGCAGCCAGGTAGACGGGAGCACCGGCACCGACACGCTGAGCATAGTTGCCCTTTCGCAGAAGACGGTGGACACGGCCAACGGGGAACGCGAGACCGGCCTTGGAAGAACGGCTACGAGATACGGTCAGCATGCGGAGCAAGGAGAGCAGGTACTGCGACGATGCAGATTGCCTGTGACTTACGACTGCGCGTTCTTGGAGCCAGAGGCCTTGCCGCCAGACTTGCCACCGCCGGTCATTTTGAATGTGGTTTTGGAGTTTGGGGAACTTGGGACGTTCGAAAATGTACGAGAGTACGGTTGAGAGACGTGGCGACGGAGATGCGGGCGAGTGACAGTGGTGACAATTGGGGGATTCGAAATGGGAGAGCGAAGGGAAGATGGAGGGGGGCCCAGAGGTTAAGTACTTTTCGGCGCGTTGGAGACGTGATGCTGGATCACCCACCCAGAGCTGCCAGCACGCTAGTCCTGTTATGGGAAATAGGCGGGCTCGCGTCCCCCCCACAAGTGGCCCCTCAAGCTTCATGGCGCACCTCATGGAAAAAAAACACGGGCACAGCAACTGGGTGGGTAGGTACAAAGTACGAGCCGACGCGCCGGTGGGTACGAGGCTGCAGGCACCTCCCGCTGCTCCGCAGAACCGGACTGGAACTGGAAGCCAGTCATGCCCAGCGCAGCCCCAGCCCAGCCACTGGACACAACGATGTGGACACGCGGGACACAGACACCTGGGCATGGAGCAGCATGCCGTGGCCGGGCTGTCGCCTCGCAGCTGCCCCCGGACTCCGTCTGGAGGTCGTGGCGAATCTGTAGCACTATCGCCAGGCATGCGCTGTTACTACTGCATGAGCGGAGGCCTCAAAATGCTGTGCATGTCCAGTATCGTCCACTCCGAGTACCGCTCGGTGCGTCGCGCCTTGGTACTATGCGCTCGTCTCGAGTGTCCTTTGTTCGGTCGGAGGTGGCGCGAGCACGCCCCAAGCGCGCCTTCTTTCACCCGACTGCTTTTGCGTGTCTTGCCCGCATGCCTCGAGGCCCGCCCAGGCAACAGAACGAGCCGTACCTATGCAGTACCCTACCTACATGAGGGAGCACGCGAGATAGTGCGGTATGTACTGCTGTAGTAGAGTACAGATAGGTACGTACCAAGGTAGTTGATGCCATGTCGTCCGTTGCTCACTGGGCACTGCCTACTAGGTACTATTGCTTCCTGCCTCGCTCGCGGAGCTCGAGTTTGCTGAGTCAGCTATCCAAGTGCCCGGGACGGGGGCAAAAGTACACTGTACCTCGTCCATTGTCTTGTGCCTGCTGGAGGACCCGCCCAAGCCGCATGACGTGCGGCAGCGCGATAAACGAGCTTCCAGGTACACACACCAGGCGCGGGGATTGGGATGCTTGTGCGCTGCCAGGTGACTTTGACCAATCAAAAATCGAGACGCGGCCAAAACACAAAAACACACCCAGCCACGTCCAGTGCAGCGTGCACACCCACGCCAGCTTGGCAGGTGCGTTCTGCTAACAACGTACGTACTCGCAGCGCTACCCAGCGCGTACGAGTACACACCGAGTTGCCAACCTGGAAAGGACCTCCTTGCTGCCGCCGCCGCCATTACCCACACGCCCTGTGCGCGCACATGCCTTTCCGACCTTTGATGCTCAGGGGCCTGCCTGCCTATGCCTGGCAAGTAGTGCCCACGCGGCCCCAGCCAGCCAGCACCATGATTAGGAGTCGCGGGCGTGATGCGTGAGGACAGGCACTGAACGGGCGGGGCACCTACGAAGTAGTAGACAGGCCCGACGCGCTTCTCACCAGCTCCAAATTGGATGAGGCGGGCGGTTCTCTCCAGTTGCGGAGTGCTCTTCGTACCCGTCGTTGGAAATGATGCACCACTCCCGTCCCCAGGTCCAAGGGTCCATCGTCGAGGCCACCCCGGATCAAGGGCTGACTTGACCGTGACATTGTCTCATCGCTGGATGGCTCGCGGGCGACATACCCGACCTGATTGCGCAGGCGGCTCGTGTGATGGGCAGCCAGCCAGCGAAAGACTCCCCACTGGTCAAATCAACGTCTCTGCTTGCACGGATAGCACGCGCCACCAGAGCTTGCGCGCTGCGATACAGGTTGGGGCCTTAGTACATAATACGTGTACCTGAGGGAGCCAGCTACCCAGCACGTACGTACGTACGAGCAATGTAGCCACAGCAATACCAAGAAAGATACCACTACTCGCAGTGTTCGTTAGTAGTGCCTACGTAGCACGTAGTATCACGCACGTGTTATGTTGTCGCAGCGCCGTCGCCTGGCCAGACCCGGCGCGCCTTACAATTCCTCGTCGCGGCGAGGCGCGCCGCTCGCAAGACGCGCTCCACTCACCCGTTTCCCGCGCCCCCACCCTTGCTGCCCACCGCCTGCTTCAACGTCCCACACGCGCATCATGCACACGCGCCGGCTGGGTACGTACCCAGCCTCCCCCCCTTCCCCCCCAAAGGCCTGCACTGGCACTAACCGGCTTGGCCAGAAATGGCAGAAAAACACCGCCATTCAGCGCCAACCACCACCAAGCCCCCCGGCTGCCCGTCTCGACGCTGCACCCCAATCAGTAACCCACTGCCGTCGCGGCGCGTCAGCTACAAAAACCCAGCCCACCCCCCAACCCTTCTTCCTCCGCCATCAACTTCCATCCACCACCCGCTGACTTCCTGACCCGCTGCTCTTCCCAAGCACGCAGATTTCATCCTCAGCCTCACGCGTACAGATATTTTTTCTGTTTCTCAGTTCACCAACAAACCGCAAAAATGCCCCCCAAGGCCGCCGACAAGAAGCCCGCCTCCAAGGCCCCCGCTACTGCCTCCAAGGCACCCGAGAAGAAGGATGCCGGCAAGAAGACTGCCGCCTCTGGCGACAAGAAGAAGCGCTCCAAGACCCGCAAGGAGACCTACAGCTCTTACATCTACAAGGGTGCGTGCCTCGCCTCCCCGGCTTTGCTCCAGGCTCGTCCGTCACTTACTAACCACGCGCTCCAGTCCTCAAGCAGGTCCACCCCGACACTGGTATCTCCAACCGTGCCATGTCTATCCTGAACTCCTTCGTCAACGGTGAGTCTCCCGTGCCTGGCCATCGTGGCCTCCCTCTCCTCGCTTTGTTGCACAGGCGCTGACGTGCCCTCAGACATTTTCGAGCGCGTTGCCACCGAGGCCTCGAAGCTGGCTGCCTACAACAAGAAGTCCACCATCTCTTCTCGGGAAATCCAGACCTCTGTCCGCCTCATCCTCCCTGGCGAGCTTGCCAAGCACGCCGTCTCTGAGGGCACCAAGGCCGTCACCAAGTACTCTTCGTCCACGAAATAAGCTCTGCGATTGGCAGGAGCTGTTTGTGTTTCGAGGGTCCATTGCTTTTCTGTCTTTTTGCGTGGCATCAGGGTGTCATGAATGGAAGTCCCCGGGCGTTCACATCAAAGTCGCCTCGTCTTTGGGATTTCTTAATGCGTTACGGATGGTTTTGCTTTATGGGGGCAATGTCTTCAAACGGTCAACGGGGTTTTGCGGTTGTACAATAAACATCGAGAATAGGGTCTCGAGGCAATGAATTCGTGCACATGATGATCCTCTTCTCGCCCTTTATGAATTGCTGCCTCTTCGTTGCGATGCAAAAGCTATACAGTTTTGACTTAACCCCAGAGCTATTTCACCATCAGGCATGGCCACTACAGGCGGTTTCCTAGCTTCACGGAGTTCGTTCGAAAAGAGTGCGGTGCTTTGCTGGACGCCGACTATCCCAAGCCCGCCTTGGTCCGCTTCATGGTCTGCGTCACCGGCTGGAGAATGCCCTTGTTGTGCGTTGCACCGAGAGCAGTTCCACTGCTCCATCCCATCTTCTCCAGCATGGCCCGCCCCCGGTTGCTCGTACCCAACTCTGGTGCAGCAGCCCCCACAACCTCGCCGTCGCGATAGCTCGTCGCAGCATGGCCACTTCCTCCTGTTGCTGAGGGGTTCCCCGGCTTCCGCTTCCCCTTGACGTCTAGCCGCGGCAAATAACGTCTATGGATTCGGGACAGGGCTTGCTCGAATTTGCTTTCGTTGTATGACAGAGTTCGTACCGTGCGGTAGAGCGTGGTCCGACGCTGATCTGCCTTGCCCGTGGACTTCGAGTTGATTTTGAACTGGTTGGCCAGCTCATGAATGATCTTGCGGGCGTGGAGGTCCATGGGCGGAAAATTCCGACTTTGTTGCGGTTAGTTCTGCATGTAAATTAACCAGCGTTGTTGCGTGCTCACCTTTCGTCAGTGCCCATGAGGAACACCCTGAACTCTGCGCCAACGTCCTGCATGGACATTCCGACTGGGTACTTGAGCCTCAGGTCGCCTGGCGCTGGGTTCTGACCAAGCAATCCGAGTGCCCGTAGCTCTTCTCGTTGCTGCTTTCGCTGCTTCTTTTTGTGTCGGTCGTTCTTCCAAGCCACCTGCAGCTGTTGCTCTAACTCCGAGTCAGAGACGTCAAAGGTTGCCGGAGCCCGAGCCTTCTTGCCCCTCCTAGGTCGTAGACTCGGGCGCTCCCAATCCATGTAGTCAAAATCTGCCGTCTTCCCTTGCGCGGCTGCAGGGCCCTTGTCTGATGCTGAGGCAGTCGAGTCACTCTCTGGTGGGCATACACCTCCGTCATCGACGTCGGAGACAGAGCTCAGGCTTTGACCTGCGATCAATTTTGCCAGGGTCACATCGTCCACCTCGGCGTCGCTGTCGTCGCTTCTGTTATTCGCAGATCCAGCGAGTTCATGTCGGAAGCCCCTCCTCGCGGGCTCCTCATGTGCAGCGTCGCCGTCAGATGTGAGTGCGCTGCGTCCGTTGCTGCGTTTGTTGCTGCGCGCCTGTGGCATGTTTTGCTCGCTCTGGTTACTGCTATCGCTTTCCGTGCCGCCGAGGTCACGGCTGTTGTGCCCGTAGTGGTGTAGTGCGTCGACAATCTCGCCACTCTCTCGCATGTTGGCAATGTAATCAGCGAGAAAGGCGTCCTCTTCACTTCCATGCCCAGGTCGACGGCCGCCGCGTCTTCCGGACCTCGCGCGTCGATGCCTCCCAGTAGTTAATTGTAATTGCGCGTTGCCTTTGTCAGTTTGTACAGAGGTAATGCCCTCTCGGGGTTCGTGTGAGTTGGCAGCGGTAGATTGTTGCTCCGTGGCAGCTTGAGAAGGCGAGGGTTGGACAACAACTTGATGCGGGCGTGTTCGGGCGCGGCCGCGAAACAGTATAATCTCGTCGCCAGAACTGCTGCAGGGTGACCGGTGCCTTTCTGGTATGGGGATAGCCGGTTTGCTGGTTGCTACTGCCGTTCTCTCGCCAGCGAGGTCATAGAAGAAGAGCGCATCCTCGCCTGTGTCGGCTGCATCTGCTCCGTTCCTGGATCTCTGTACGGCGTGCTCGAGCTCATCCGGGCCCATCACGGTATCCTTCTCTGCGCCACTGTCCGGCGATTTGGCCCGTCGCTCAATGGGTGGGCCGGCTTGGGTGCTGGCTGGGTCGCTGCCGTGCTGGTCCAGGTCGTCATTCTTGAGCGGCTCGCTCAGCCCAGCACTGCGGAACAGTACAGGCTGACTGCGAAGTCTTGAGTTGCTGCTCCAGGTAGAGTGGTCATGCTGTGACGTCTGCCTAGCTTCATCGGCCATGGTGAATGTTGCTTTGACGGTTCCCAAGTTAGTGGCAACATGGTGATGGTTGTGATTATGACCTACTGGAGTGGGCCGGACTCGGCGTGGTCACCTGCGACGAAGCGACATCTGCCCGACGACCACGTCCCCGCGAGCCTCCTCGGGATAAGCCACCAACCCGCGAGCGCGGCACCGTGTTCATCCCGCGAGTGTTTTTTCGAGGCATGACGAGCGCTCCAGGGTAGGTGTTGAGGGTAAAAAGAATACGCCGAAAATGCTTTGGCGTATGAAAGCGCGAACGCCTGCGTCGTGCCCGCGTGAATGCGTGCACAGCCCGAAAAAGACGTGCGCTTCTCAAACGCTCATGCGCATGCTTGCAGGCTTCCCGGAGCTCGCGATATGGACCGGGGCCGTCGTGAGGCTGTGCTATGCGGCAGCTGGTGCCGTCAAAGGTGGTCAGTGGTCACACTACTGCCCGTGGTGGTTGGTGGTTACACGAACATGGGCATGTGTGAGAACTGTTTGGCTTGGCTCACTGTTCGGTGGAGAGCGGCACTATTATCGATAAGCAAGGGAGGCAGGCAGGTGTTGCAAGTACCTCTCTCTACTGGCACATTACCCTTTCGCCACCGCCCTTCTCTAGTACTTCCACGTAGCTTAGCACCTAGAGGTACCAGCGTAGCAACTTCGTAGTTAGGTGTTAGGTGAGCTGCTGCAAAGCACCTGGGGACGTTGGCTACTAAGGGACCGAGAACTACCTTATGCACCTTCCTCGCCCGGCACGAAGCTTAGGTAGGGTAGGTAGGTACTGTGCCTGGTGAGGTACTACCTTAGGTAGGTTCCCCCCCCACCACACGGGTAGGTACTGCACAGGTACCTGTTGCAGCACCATGTGCCTACCTAGATAGGTGCCCAGGTACTTGAAGGCAGGTACCGACTTAGTAGAGTTACCGGCAGCACCAGAGGCACCTGGAAGCAGTTGCGTCACGCGCCGGGCGGCTGGCCTCGCAGGCAGCCGACTGCAGTCACAGGAGCTCGTGGCGGAAATGCAGCCCCAGCTCCTCCTGCGGCCCTGCCCCAGGCGTCATTCTTTCCCTGAGCCCGCCGACTTACATCAGCGCGAGGCATCATCCCCCGCCACATTACACCAGGCTCAACAATCCAACCCTTTGCAAGCATCGCCCAGAAACCCAACGAGCAGAGACGACAAACATACCATACTTACCCCGGGTGCCACCGGGGACCACTGACATCAGCGATTCCGCGTCTCTGGGCTTCCAACCCCGCCTCGCCTGCGACGACGCCGCGTTCCGACCTCACATCGTGGCCGCGAAGGGCACGGACAGCATCCTGCCAGGCACGTCTCCGTCTCACAGACTATCCTCGATCCGCTACAAAAGTGCCGTCAACGCAGAGATCTCCCCGTCAAATTGCCGGACCTGGGCGGTGAGAACCGCCCATCAGTGACTCGCCATGGAGTCCGCTATTGCTGGTGCTGGACTCGGCCGCTATCGGCGCATCGTGCAGATGTTTTGGGACCCTGAGCCCGTCAACGATGCCGCCACAGACCAGCCGGTATGGTGTCTAGGTCGGTCCTATAGGTTATCCGACAAGCCCGCCGCTGGAAGCGCCAGAAGCCGCGATGCCAACGACAAGGATCAATTCGAGAGTGGCCCTACCCGTTCGAGCCCGAAGGCGGTTCCTCGCCTGCCATCTCCGCAGGCGCCGAACGCTGCTGTCTCTGATCCGCCACTTAATACCCCAGAAACTCCCCCGGAGTCATCATCGGCCAGCCTTTCGTCCTCACTCGCCTACGACGAGTCGACCCGTGATGCCAGCGGTGGTTGGCCCCAAGGCTTTGTCGAAGACTTTGGCTCCAGGTTTTGGATGACGTACAGGTCTGACTTCGCGCCGATAAAGAGATCCGCAGATCCGAAAGCGACATCTGCGCTGTCCTTGTCTGTGCGCATTATGAGCCAACTGAGCGAGCAGGACGGCTTCTCATCAGATAGTGGATGGGGATGCATGATCAGGTCTGGCCAGGGCCTCTTAGCCAACACTATGTCCATGGTTAGGCTCGGAAGAGGTATGTCATGCCCCAAGGCGACGAGGCGGTTCCTAACCGCCTAGACACAAGTGGCGTGCGAACAGATCCTCTGACTGTCGATTATAGATTGGCGTCGGGGCAAATGCCCGCAGGAAGAGCGCCGGCTAATCAGTCTCTTTGCTGACGACCCACGCGCACCGTATTCCATACACAGTTTTGTTGACCATGGCGCTATTGCCTGTGGCAAGTATCCAGGAGAGTGGTTTGGCCCTTCTGCGACAGCACGATGCATACAGTTCGTGGCGTTCCGTCCCATATCGGCCGCGCGGAGCCATGAGTGACTGACGATTCTGACACAGGGCTCTCGTCAACACACACGACACGTCTCTTCGGGTGTACTCAACTGGCGACGGCCCCGATGTCTACGAGGACAGCTTCATGAAGATTGCAAAGCCGGACGGTGGCGAATTTCATCCGACGCTCATTCTCGTCGGGACCCGCCTGGGGATCGACAAGATCACCCCGGTATACTGGGAGGCACTCATCGCATCCCTTCAGATGCCCCAGTCCGCCGGCATCGCTGGGTAAGTGAAATTTCAGCGAAAACGCAGTTCCTCTACCCTGTTCAGTTCTGACGCACCACGCACATGCAGCGGCCGGCCATCCTCCTCTCACTATTTTGTTGGTGTCCAGGGCAAGTTTTTGTTCTACCTGGACCCTCATCATACACGCCCAGCCCTACCATACTACGCCGATACCAACCAGTATGCCGATGACGACGTTGAGTCGTGCCACACCACCCGATTGCGGAGAATCCACATACGGGAAGTCGACCCAAGCATGCTGATTGGCTTTCTGATCCGGAGCGAAGAGGACTGGTCGGATTGGAGACGTTGCGTGAAGCACGTCCAGGGCAAAGCCATCATTCACGTTGCGGACTGCGACCCGGCTGCCCAGGCCCCGCCCGGCCAGAGGAGAGCTGCGATTGATGAAGTGGAGCCACTGAGTGATGAGGATGATGGAACGATTCACGCAGCATAGAGCTGTTTGTTTCATACGCATACGTATGCCGGCGTCTGGCGTTAGTGTTGATCATGTGGGCTCGATCTTGCATTCGCGGATGCTCCAGATACCAGATGAATGTAACCGTCCGCTCGGTAAGCTACCCGTCGGGGAGTGATTGCCAGCTTGGTGTGACTCGGTCTTGCTCTACTTTCCCTTCTTCCCCTTTGACTTGCTCAAGGCCGGTGTGCCGCGAGACAGTGGTGTAGCATGGCCCTCATCCCTAATGTGTTTGAAGAGCTTTGTCCTGGACTCGAAATGCTCACCGCAGACAGAACATCGGTGCTGTTCCCAGAGTGAGTGGCGGTCAATGGCAGTAGGCTGGATCATCTCACCTCAGTGCTTGCGTCGGAAGAACGGGCCGCTGCTGCTGCTTTCCTTGCCCTCTTCGCCTTAGCCTTGCCCAGCTTGACTTGACCAGTCGCGTCCTTGCCAAGCGACATGTCCGCGATTGAGCTCATCACATCGTTGTCAGTGTCCGCCGCCGAGCTCGTGGCATCTGCCTCTACTTCAACGGTCGGTGCAAGTCGCTCTTCAACAATGTTCCTTGGTGCATAGTCTTCGTCGTCGGCCGGCGGCGATGGCGAGTGTTGAGGAGATGCCGACGACGCTGAAGCGTCATTATCCTGGTCCATGCCGTGGCCGCCAAGTGCATATCCATCAACGGGGTCCCCATTCGCTCCTTGGCTTTCCACCTGCGAAGCAGCGGAGCTAGGACTTCTGTCTCGCTCAGGACCAAGGGGGGCCTCAGGGGTCAGCTCCAGATCGGCACCCTCCTTCTCCATCTGGCGCCGCAGTAGCTGCACTGCTTTGATATGCTTTTTGCTCCGCTCGTGGGCTTCTAGCTGTTGCACACTCTTGAATGTCTTGTTGCAAACAATGCACTCGAGCAGTTCAACCTCGGAATCCTCGCCAGACGATTCTGAGAAGACGTGGTCTGCGCCATCATCGCGTGGGCCGGCCCAGTCTGGAACACTGTAGTCGGCCATTCGCTCCTGGTTTGCGGCTCGAGACCGAGCAGCCTGGGCCGCCGCAGCATCTCGCAATGCCTTTTGGCGCTCTGCCTCAGTCTGCGCATTAGGCAAGTAGCGAGGGTCACGTTTCCGGACAAACCCAACCAAGAATCTGACGGCATCGTTAAACTCGCGGACAGCATCGTCGCGGCTCTTCTTGTTCTCCTTCTCCATGAGCCGGCGAACTCGTCTGTCAGGGGCGTCTGATAGACGGTGTCTGTCTTTCCAAGAAAAAGACTTCTTCGTGGAGAACCCGGACCAGGAGGCATAGAAGACCTTTACGACCTGGTCGTAGTCGTCATCGGAGGAGCCAAAGGTTGGGTAGTCGGGGACGGCCATGCCCTCAAACTCGGCGGCTGTCTCTTCTTCGAGTGCAAGGTGCTCAAACGTCTCGCGCGCAATGCCGAAGAAGCCCGTCGGCTCGTCATTGAACGGCACTGCGGCGTTGAACCGGCGCATGAGACTGAGAATCTCGTCGGTGGTCGTCAGGCGGACATTGCGGAATGTCGTTGGCGCAGCACCATCGGCGAGGTCGTCCTGGCCGCTTAGGATGGCGTCTCGGTGGGAGTCGTACCACGCCCTCTCCTGAGGATCGGAGAGAACCTCGTACGCGGACTGTACCTCGGCGAACTTCCTCGTGGCGGCTTCTACATCATTCAAGTTGCGGTCTGGGTGAAGGTCGAGCGCCTTTCGGCGGTATGCCTTCTTGATGCTGCGAGACGGCGGCAACACATCAGCCATGTGAGTCATGGGCGGGCCCGTGTTGGCAAAGAATCTGCATCTTACTCATTGTCGCTCGCATCACGCTCCACGCCGAGAAGTTCGTAGTAGCATATTTTGGCTGTAGCGGTGTTTGCCTCCTGTTGAGAGGAGGACTGGGACGCGCCCATGTCGTACGGGCGTCTTGGAGCGGCGACTTTATATGGACTGGATTGACGAGGCGACACTGTTCATGAAGCACGAGTGAACGGCAACCTTTCCTCGCCGACGGGCCCTCGTGGCTCGAGAATCGTTTCAGTGAAGATTTTTGGAGTCCAAATGCAGCCGTCCGGCCGTCAGAAGAGGATGAGCAGACGTGAAGTTGACGGTGGTTTACGAGCAGGAGACGAGAGAGAGGAAACTGGTGAGAAGAATGAGAGAGCTTCCAGGCATTAGAGGGACTTGGTAAGTGAAGTTCGTAGCCCAGTAAAGATTTGAATGTAGTAAGGTACGGCACGGTTCGTAATACCTTGGAACGTCGGGTCGGTAGGTAAATACCTACGGCGTACTTATATTCTCACCGAGGCAGGCTAGTACTCTTAGTACTGCGTAGGTACTTATTTAAGTAGCCTATCAAAAGAGTACCTATCTAGTAGTTACTATACCTATTACTACCTTGAGCAGATACCTACTAAACACCTAAGCATAAAGATAGTTTGCCCCTAGCAGTACTAAATAAACCCCCTTTTGGTGGGTTATACCCGCCCGCGTCATGAGGCGGCCGTTTAAACCAGGTACTGCTGTAGCAATTACGTACCGTCAGTACTTTAGGTACTACCTTAGGTACCCACCTTATCTAGGCGGGCAACCGATCACCAGAAAGTGTAGCGTTGAAATACCGACACGCACAAGTCTCGGAGCAGTACATTTGTCCCGCCTCTCGGTACCTTACGTGCTCCCGCGGCACAAGTTGTACACCCGTTGTACCATCTATTAGCTCCCGGCCGCTGCCCTTTGGCGGCGACATAGTATTCTTCCCGCCCCCCACGGGCGAATCCGCCTCCCGGCCTCTCCTCTCCATATGCTGCCATTCTCGTGCCTACATACATACACTTCACCGCACGGCGCCGCCAACCGTCAGTCATGCGCGTTCGATTACCTTGCCCACTGCGCTGCAACACGACCAAACGGCAGTAACTTAGTCCCGGTCCTGCCATGAGGGCCCGGCTCCAGCCACCATGAAGTTTGCGCACGACTTCAAGCAAACTCTGGCCAGCCAAGGTGAGTTGCGCCGGGTTCACGTCTTCTTTGCGCCACGCGCCCTCGATGATGGAAGCTCTGACAAGCGTCCCCTCGTAGGCTTCCCTGCCCACTGGGTCAATCAGGCGATTCCATATAGTCAGCTCAAGAAATGTCTCAAGAAGGTGCAGCGGGAGCTGCAAGACCTCGGCCTCGACCCTGACACTCTGCGAACCTTACTCGATCCGAACACTGCGTCGCCTGTCGCTCTTCAGTACAGACTCAAGGGTATGGAACCCATCGGCCGAGCTTGCGCGACGCGTCTCTCCAGAGCAGGCTGACATTTGTTTCCGTCTTCTCAGCCGCCAGCGACTCCAATCTTGTCCGGCCCAAACTCACCGTCTACGTCCACCTGCAGGATGGTGTTGCCGTTGATGCGTCGTTGACCCCGACCTCGCGTCGGTTTTTCGAGCGCATCGCTGCCGACTTCCCTCTCGATCACCCGCGGCAACAGCCCGACCCTCCGCAAGGTTGCGCCGTGGGAAATAGCAAAGGAGAAACCCTGAGCGAGCCTTCAGCCGAGCCAGTCTCCGTTGAGACATCCAGCAGCACCGCGTCCTATGAGACCATAGAAGTCCCCTTAGTCTTCGACAGCGAGTTTTTCGATATCTTGCAAAGCGACGTGAGCAACCTCGAGGCGCTGCAGACGGAGGAGAGGAAGAAGATGACCGCGGAAGTTATCGCGCTTGGCGGCGAAGTCGCTCAACTATCGCAGCCCAGCCGTTTTTCAAAGACTGATATGGCTCGCTGGCGCCGTATATTCGAGCTGTATCTTGACGCCGAGGTTTTCTTCGCGACCCATGAACGCGACCATGGGTCTAGATCAAGCCAGAGCGCCCTTCGGCAGCTGCAGTGGTTTCAAGGCGAAGTCGACAAGCGCCACCTTGCAACGGACTTCAAGCTCCGCGAAAGCCGAGCCGCCTTCTCACGATTCTTGAGCCTCAACGTCAGTCTGCTCAAGAACCTGCAGTTCCAGGAGCTGAATAGGCTCGCCGTCTTCAAGATTCTCAAGAGTACGTCCGCGGCCGCTCCTCCCCCGTCGCGCTTGGGCCATTGCAACTCACAGCCATCCGCCTCTTAGAGTTTGACAAGCGCACATCCTTGGGCGTCTCGCAAACATTCCCAAATGCTATACAGGCGGAAGGAGTTCTGTCGGCTGACATTGCCAAAGACGTCTGCGCCCAGATGTCTTTGGAGCTGGTCTCGGTGGTGCCGCAGCTCAACGACTACTTATGTCCTGTGTGCTTCTCGGTAGCATACAGGCCCGTTCGGCTGGATTGCCAGCACGTCTTTTGCATACGTTGCATCGTCAAGATTCAGCGACGCCAAGAAAAGCACTGTCCCCTGTGTCGCGCCGACGTCGTCATGAATGCATCGGCAGGTCAGTTCGCCTTCCGACGTTGAAGCGAGACAGCTGTCACTCAGTGCCTCTAACCTATCACCGCTGTGCAGATAACCTCGACCACAAGCTCGAGAAATACATGAAGAAGTATTTCTCTAAAGAAGTCAAAGAGAAGCAACGTGCTAATGAGATTGAGCGGGGCATTGAGGATTACGGGCCGGGATACACGCACCAGGAGTGCGTGGTTATGTGACGGTTGGCCTAGCAAGGGCGCTGCCTGGCAGGGTAGCATTCTTCGACTCAGCTAATATCGTGTTTGTGGCACTCTGATCAAGGACCAGAATAATATCGCCTGGACGTGGCCTGTGATGCCTATGATGACGGACCACATGAGGACTACGCGGGGAAAAGTGCAGGGTGTCGACCCATCAGTTTGGTCGATTCCGCCACCGCGGCCTGCAATACTACTCATACTTTTAAACTCGATAAATCGCGCGACTGCGCGCGGAAATATATTTGCCATGATGCGAAGACGCGGAGTCCCACCACTGATATCTCATGCTATGCCGCCTCGGCCGCGGAAAGGGCCTTTTCAAAGGTAGCTTGTAGATGATCAGTCTCTTCCAACCCGACACTCACGCGGATGAGATCGGGATCCACCCCGTATTGTGCAGCCCATGACAGCTCCTGATAGTGCGCGAGCAATACGTACGGCGAGCAGAGTGTGAAGTTGGTCCCAAGACTTGGGCCCTTTGCGATTTCCATCGCATCGTAAAAGACCTGCGCCTTCTCTTTGCTTGTGAAGACAACGGACAGCAAACCACCGTAACCGCCGCTGGGCAGGCGCCTGGCGTCGTAGTTACCTCTCGAAGGGTTCCACTTGGGATAGTAGAGGCTTTTCACGAGAGCGCTGTTGCGAAGGGTGTCGCAGATGGCCTCTGCATTGGCGTTGATTCGGTCAACTCGCCTCGCAAAGTCGCGGCTGTTTCTCTCCATGAATATGACATCCTCGGGCCAGTACGTGTCCTCGAAAATGTCTCGGTCCAAAGCCTGCTTCAGCACGTCGTAGTACTTGCTCTCGGGATTCAGGATTGCACTGCCGCCCATGACGTTGGAGTCGCCGGAGAAGATCTTGGTCAAGCTGCTGACCACAATGTCTGCAACCGAAAGGACGTCGATGTTGGCAAATGTTCCGATCGTCTCATCGACAACGACGGCGAAGTCAAACTCATCGGCCAGTCTCCGGATGCGGTCCAAATCAGGGCAAGTGAGCAGCGGGTTGCCCGGAAACTCGCAGAAGAGCCCGAGGAAGCGATGGCCGGACCGAAGGAGAGTTTCCAGCTCGTCCAGGTCCTGTGATGACGCGTTGCCGTAGAAGACGCACCCGGGCCCAAATTTTTGAAGGATTTTGAGTGTATCGACGTAAGGAAACCCGAAATTGATGCTCTTGAGCTGGCCACGGGCACATAGCAAGGCCTGATGAGCGTTGAAGATGGCATTCATGCCGGCGGGGAAAAGGTATACGTCGTGCTCGGCGAGACTCTGCAGACCTCGTGTGTTGGGCGATGGGGTGGGGAGAGAGCCGCTGTGAAGGTCGACCTCGTGGCAGAGTGAACCTGCGATGCGGCGCCGGATAGCCGACTTGGCTCGTTCAACGAGGCCCAAGTCGAGATTCCTCCCGAAACGCTCCTCCAGGAACTGAGTGCTCTCCTGCGGCTCGCGGGCGGTAGCGGGCGCCGGCGGCTTGGCCAATGCCGGGCTCGTGACGGCATCAATGGATGCCTGTCGCTGGTAGCGTCGCGGGCCGCGGAACGGGCGGGCTTGAGGTTCTCGCGCGCCCCTGGGACTCGTTGTAGCAACGAGCAGATGATCTCTAAAGAGACCGTGGCAGAACTCGGCTCTGCGGCTCGAGGCACCGTCGCCAGTGTGCTGCCAGTATTGTTTGGCAAAAGGAAAGGCCTCCTGGGGATACAGGACCGCGGAAATGGTGGGGCAGAGTCTCTTCAGCAAAGGCGAGACATCCTTGGAGGCATCGAGGGCCAGGTGGACCACGTCGAGCGCAGGTACCAGGCCGGCTTCGACACGGTCTTTGATGAAGTCGAGGCAGCGAGTGGCAGTTCGGGCCGTGGGGAACAGCATGGCGCGCTGGTCAGGCCGGCCATAGGCGGCAGCAATGTCCTCGGCAAGGGCCTGTATGCTCTTGTGAATGAAGAAGCTGACGAGGGTTAGCAATTGCGGCCAGCGGGAAGGTGGCGGACGAGGCGTACCGAGGGTAGCCCGTCGTCATGCGGCCGACAACCCAGTCCTCACCCTCCTCGTAGCCGACGTTTGACTGCCATGTGGGTAAGGAGACGCTCACAGCCTGTGTGAATGCGTCAGAAGCCGCAGCAAGGAGAGTGGCGGGCGAGGAGAGACTCACATGAGCAGTGTCTGGCGGGATTGACTCGCCCAGCGCGAAAGAAGGCATGGCCTCAACGGTGCACTCGGAGGAAGAGGCTGGCCTGGGGATAGCAGAAGGCCGGGCACTTGGGGGCGTTTTGCGTTAGCCCAGGTCGATGGTTGATAGACAAGCAAGAAAGAGGGCGGGCTTCGCCGACTGAGCCTGAGCTGCGAAGCGTCATCCTCAGCAGCGTTGCCGGAGCAGGCACATGACACTTACATTGGGTTGCAAGACCCGATGCGCTCAGGTCAAGGCAATGGGTCGTTGGTGGTGGCGGAAATACCTCTTTGGCCTCAATCGCAATCGGTCGTTCCAAAAGCTGTTCCTGGTCCCTGGAGGGCCGACAATCGGACTCGGAGCCGGCGGCGACCCCACTGAGTCATCAAGGGTCCAGTTTGCGTGCCGTCCTGGCCCGGTGTGGGTGGCTACCTAGGTAAGTTAGTTACTGCCCAAACCCCCACGTCCATCAACGCTCCCGCACCAGCCAGCAACCTAACCGTGGTGATCCTGTCTTTGCAACGGATCTCGCCAACAGCACGCAGCCTGTTCGACGACTTCCTCAGTCGTAAAAAACAGAGCGAGCGCAAGGGCTCGCGCACGGGGAGTGGACGGGAACTAGTGGTGGCAGGCACCGTGTGACACTGCCGTTAAACATCAAGCAAGGGCAACTGCATGGGTCGAGTCTACATCGCGCGCGAGAACCATGGTCTCCTCTGACACCATCATCACTTGAGGGAGACGTAGCCACGCCACCTCTCAGAGACACGCGCATAAAAGTTGCGCAGAGCATTCTATTCAGTCCTGCCGGTCTGCCTAGGACGGTAGACCGTCAACACCCTTACACCGCCGCCGCTGTCAACATGTCGCGAGCTGCCTTCTTGGTGCGCGAATGCCGCCATCACCGGCGTTGAAATCTGCGGCTCCGTTGACTTGCTCTCGTGCCCACACAACTGATGCTATCGCTGGGAGCAATGCTGACCAAATCGTCGTTCCAGTTCACGCTGTTGCTCCCAAGGTTGCTCTCGGGAAGCGGAACTTCCCTGGCAGAGGCGAAGCTGGCAGCTTGGCTCTCCGGTAGAGGAACGTCCCTGCCCGAAAGATACGTCGGTGCCTGGCTTGCGGGCAGTTGGATGTGTCTGGCCGACAAGTAGCTGCCCCGGTGCAGCGAGCCGTGTTCTGACCTCGACCCTCGAGACGCCGAGGGCGCCCGGCTATATGAATGTTCTGTCCGGCGTGATTGGGCCGAGATGTAGCTGGATTGGTCAGGTTCGCATGCCACGCGCTGGCATGACTGCGTCTCCCTTGGTGCATCGGTCTGATGCGACGGGGGACGCGCATAGCTCAGCCTGTCTCGCTCCGCCCCAACCACGGAAGCACGCCTAGACGGAGCCTCGCTGCGGCTTCTTGTACTGGGTGCGCGGCCGTGACCATTCCGCGAGGAGAGCCGACTGCGTGTGTCAAATTCACCGCCTGGTTGGCGAGCAGCAGAGCTCTTCCCATCGACAAAGGTGCCGGCGCGGTTGCTGCCAGTGCTTCTGGCAGCTGCAACGCTTCGCGGCGCCGCCAGTTCAGGGCTCCCACGAGTTGGATGCTTTCCAAATGATGCGATGTCATGTTCGTGCGGCCGAGGCTGTCTAGGCTCCACGCCATGAACCTGCAGGCTTCCCTTCTCGGGGTACGGCAAGGCCTTCCTAGGTGCAACCTTTGGCACGCCGGGGTAGCTACTTGCCTTTGTAGCCTCCATGAGGGCAGGCCGGTCGGGAAAAGTAGCTCTCCGTGGGAGGGTACGAGGGACTTCCGTGTCATGGTGCGTGTTGCGATCCTTGTCCCTCGACACAATCCCGTAGGTCAGCGCGGCGCCTGCGGCCACACCAAGTAGAGCACCGACAACAGTCGATGTGTTGATGAGGGACGAGCCGTGCGTGGCTGCATCCGTCTTGGATGGCGGCGCCGCGGACGCCGGCTGACGCAACGGGGACCTTTGAATGGCGAGGCTTGGTGATGTTGAAGACGGTCCTGGGCGCGGTCTCGTTGCAGACGGTGAGGCATCGGACGAGGCGACGTTATAGTTCCACTCCAGGATCCGCCCGACTTCGCTCGTTGTTGATTGCGTCTTGCGGACAGCTGTGCCGCTATACCGCACGGCGCTGTGCGGACGAGGGTCGGGATAGACTGCCTCCATGGTGTTGCCGTCCAAGTCGACGACAGTGGCTCTAGCCACGCCGTCCTCAGTCGTTGATGCTTTCTCCTTTGGCAGTGACTGGTCGGGGTTGGCTTTCAGCGCAGATTCGAGGAAAGAGGCCACTGCCAGCCGAGTCGGCGCGGCGAAGACGAGGGAGGACAGCCTGCAGCGGGCCGAAGGTGCCTGGCGGAGCTGCAGAACTGGGTGACCGTCTGCGCCGAAGATGATGGCGCTCGACGCGGCCGGGGCGTCGACGAAGGTGATGCCGAGGGGCTGGAGCACGGCGGCGAAGAAGGACGACGAGGGTGCAAGGTGCGAGACCTCGATGGACGGCAGCACCATTTGTGTGGACGATGCACGCCGCCGCCACAGCGCCCGAGACTCAACCCGCCCGCCTTGCAGCAGTAGGTAGGTATGTTAGCTGTGCCCTTGTCGTCCGCACGGCGTGAAAGAGCCAGAGAAGCTGGGCGGCGCGCACCCCTTAGGTATGCAAACCGTTACGGGTACTGGTCAGGGTGATGGTGGCGAGCGAGGCTGCCTCGACGAGACCAGCAGGAGGCGCCCAGGCTGCCCTGGGAAATGAATCAAGTCATACTTGTTGAGCCCGGCGACGACATGCATGTATTATGTATGCATGTACACAGCTGCTCGTCCCTATGGAGCCATGAACAGGCGGCAGGGCCCGAGGGAGCCCGCGGGAGGCACGGGACGACGGGGCTGCCTGCAGAAGCTGCCGCCAGGGTTGGTCGAGGCGGCCCGATGGATGGATGGATTAATGGACAGATGGATGCCGGCTGGGACAGGCCATGCAGGAGCGTCCATGGATGTTGGACGACGAGCCCCGCCTCACGCCTCCCACCGCCTCTCTCTGCATCACACGCCTCCACCACCACACCGCACGACCGCCCGCCTGACGTGACCCAAGCAGGCACGGGCACGCATTCGGAGCCTGACTCCAGCAGCCGGCAGGACGTCATGCTTGCTGTCCCAACACGCAAGTGGAAGCCCCTTGCTGGGCCCAGCGCTCCCGCACCGTTGTCCAGCGTGGGTGCCTACTCTCGCCTCGCCGGTTGACACGTTGCCAATCCAGCTTTCCCAGCACTTGTACGAAGTCAGGTAGCCGAGGCCAGCGCGCCCTCAGGAGTGGAGCGGTCGGGCGGCCTCAGATAAGCGCAGTACTGTGCATCCCGACTACAGGTGCGAGTCGGGAAAGGGGGAGCAGCCCTGCCTCTCCTCCGTCCTCCTACGGTTGCCGTACTCTTGTTCATAGGTGTTCTGGCCCCTGGCCCCTGGTGGGAGGCACATGCGAGACGACTTGGGTGGTGTGTGGCTCAACCAACATAAATCTCTTGAATTCAACCAAGCCATTTCTGCATCTATACTGCGAGGCTTCCTCACAGTCTGCCGCCTCGCTGCCTTTACTTCGTCACCTTGACCGACCATCTCCTGGAGTTTTTGGCCCAGAGGCCCGCATGATGTCTGGCCATATTCTTGTGGTGTGATGGCCACCGCTGCGGCGGGCTCAACTGGCTGTCGGGCTCCGAGTCGCACCGCCCGCGCCGCGCAGGAATTTCTTGAGCGCTCGGCAAGCTGGCGAAAACGGCCTCGGCGTATCCCGACGTCTCCGGCCGCGGCCGGGCTCCTAGCCTGCCTGCATTTCAGGAAACGGCATACACAAGAGTTGAAAGCGTCTTGGACCTGTCGGTTGAACGCCCCGAGTTTTGGTTGTAAAAACAAGCGACAGCGCCAAGCCCAGGCGACCCAAGTCTTTGCCGGATCGTCTCGTGTGGCGGCGATGTTGTATCGCTGCTCAGCGAGGCGATCCAGGCTTTCGCCTTGGCTCTCACCTGTCCCCTTGCCGCCCTCTAGGACTGCCAGTCCTCAAACCCGTTCCGGGTTGGTAGGCACGGCCTAAAGAATGTCCCAGACATCCTCTGCCGCGTGGCAGAACTTGCTGCAAGCAACACTAGCTGAAAGGGAATAGTTGCTGATGGAAATCTTTTCATCGACCATGGAATCCGCGAAATTGTCGGCGCCCTTGGCCATGGCTCCCACAAAGACGCAGATGCTCTCCTTTGTTCCGACGGTCTCAACGTATTCACGAACACGAACCAGCGGCGCATCGAAGCTCAATGTTACCTTGCGGCAGTTTGGGGGGAGGTGGTCAGTAATAGGGTTCTGGATCACACGCAGCAGCTTTTCGTTGGAGTTGGTAGATCGGATGGACAAGCGATGGAGCAGCTGTACCATAAGACCGGCGAATCGCTTGAACGTGCGCGGGATGCGGACCGAAGGCGATACCTCAATGAGGACACCCTTTGCCGTGTGGATATATATCTGAAGCTTGCCGGCCTTGTTGATGGGCGAGTCCAGGAGGGTTAACAGACACTGCTCATTGGTCAGCATTGTTGCGACTTATCAAGCAAGCGTTCCCGACGAAGGGCCAGCACCTGATGGGTGATGTCGGGGCGAGCGTCGCTGATGTCCCTATTCATCTTGCGCATCACCCCGATGTGTTCATCGCTGTTGAGGAGCGAGTACTTGTCCTCGCGGTGGACACCCGTGCGACTAGCGCTTCCATGTGAGGCCTTGTACGTTTCAAGACTTGCATTCGATAGCACGACGATGAGACGCTGCGAGTCCTTGTCGGCGGGCGGGATGGGGGTGTTCTGTTCCGCCACGAGTTGAGGAAGTGCCGGAGGAGGAAGCGATTGCGTCCCTAGGTGGCGGATGGCGGGGCCGTCGGTCAGCGGATGCCATTGCGAACTACTGATGAGGTAGTTCAGGAACGAATTTGCAATGTCTTACTAGGTCGCTTTACTCCAGCACGGCGATCCGGAGACGACATTATCAAGAGTGGTTGCGATTGGTCCGCGAAGTCGATCGACGGATGAGGCAGATTGGAATGAGGGGTTTCGGAGCGTCTACTGACGGGCCTCTGGTGTTAATACTCAGGCTCAGGCTTGTCAGACGGCGGCTTGATGTGACCTACCTTGTGGAGATGTAAGCAGTTGCAAGCTTGAGGAGGTGGTTCGTGTTGGCCTGAGAACAAGCGACGGAGTGATCGACTTCGGGAGCTGAATCGTTGACTGGACCCTTGTGCAGAAAGTTATCGCGGCGGCACGTGGCAGAGTCTTCTCTGTTTCCACACTAGAGTCTGGGTATTTCGGAGTACGACTATTTACGAGCCAACTCCACGATTACATAACAAGGCGGTGAACATTGTCCCGGCAGAATTTTATCGCACTGCATTCTTCTGGTACATGCTCTGTGACTTGTCTGCAGCGCAGGTAAATCCGGGAGCCCATATTCTCGCGACCATCCAGCAGCAGCGCTCAAACGCACAGAAAGCGACGACAACTACGGCAGGTTTTCATTCTCATAAGTGGCGCGATCGGGTCGCAAAGTCATGAGACGAACGAGTAACTAGCCCTGGACTCGGCTCGATCACCAGTCACGATCCCACGAAACCGTGCCGCCCTTGGTTTTCCTCTGTACTCGAGCTGTCACGGCGCCGGGCTCGGACAACGAACATGGCGTCCCAAGTAGCCAAAGCTGCGCGCCGTGTAACGCATGAGCTCCATGGCGTCGTCGTTTCCGCTGGCCTCATGCAAAAGACTGTCAAGGTGCGAGTGGGTGGCCAGAAATGGAATAAAATTGTCAACAAGGTAAGGCCATGATTTGACACCACTTCACCCTTCCCGGGGCCACAAGCAACTGATTATCTCGTGCGAATCTTCAGTGGTTTGCCGATCCAAAACACTACCTTGTACACGACCCGAACTCGTCCCTCAGGACTGGCGACGTCGTCTCTATCGCCCCGGGATGGCCGACCTCGAAGAACAAGAGACATGTTATTAAGCAAATCATTGCTCCGTTCGGCTCTCCCATCGACCAACGCCCACCTGTACCGACTTTGGAAGAGCGTATAGCCGATCGCGAGGCCAAGAAGGCAGACAAAGACGAGCGCAGGGCTGCAAGAAGGGCAGCCGACGAAGATTCCATGAGAGCAAAGAGACTCTCACAAAAGGGTGGGCGACATGCCCCTCGGGAATTGTGATACCAAATGTAAAATAGTTCAACCGCAGAAGACAGGCCTAGGGCAAGCCACCTCATATCCACAGCAGACACGGAAGACCGGCCGCTTGCTGGAACTGCCGGTCTTACTTGCCCTGGAACTGCCGATGCGTACGGCTTTCGCCTCGTCGTACTTTTCTCTGTTGGTTAACCAAGTCACACACATGTAGCCTATAACTGCTACACGCTACATGTATCGCCAGTACCCGTGAGACTCCGATGGTCCGACACTGACGAGGTCTATACTCCGCGCAGGCTTTGTTTCGGCCTAGCCTCCCCTCTCCCCGAACTCCCGGGCCCAATCTTCATACTCTTTCAACCCAGCCTTGCCAACGCTGGGGCGAATCGTCCCGAGGCTTGCCTTGAAGTCGTCCAGCATTATGGGTCTGATCTGGTCCATAGTCATATGCAGAAGGGCTTCTCCAAGCGACCGAAGCGGACCCATAGCTGCGTCCTTTGCCAGAGCTGTGATGTCGGATCCGGAGAAGCCTGCTGCCCGTCAGTTAAAAATCGCTACGTGACCATTGGCCACGAGGGGTATGAAGACTATACCTTCAGTCAGCTGCACCAGTTCCTTGATGTCGGCGGATGACAGGCTATGCTTCTGTTGGCCAAGTAAGGTGCGAAGCTGTGTCTCCCGCGTGTGAGGCTCCGGAAGCGGTATGTACTGGCGGCGGACGAATCGCCTTCTTGCAGCCTCATCAATGGCCCAAGGAAGATTCGTGGCGGCCAATACTAAAACTCTATTGGCATCACCTCGCTGTTTGTCTCTCTCAGTTGTTTCACGTCCGGCAGCCGCTCGCTGGAGATCGCTCCATTGGATAAGAAACTCGGTCTTGATTCGCCTCGTCGCTTCATGTTCGCCAGACCCCGACCGCTGTGACAGGAGTGAGTCGATCTCGTCGACGAAGATGATGCTTGGGGCAAGCGCCCGCGCAAGGCCAAAAAGGGCTCGGACAAGTTTCTCGGACTCGCCCAAGTACTTGCTTGTGAGGCTGCTTGCAGATATAGAGAAGAATGTCGACTTCGACTCTGTGGCTACTGCACGAGCCAGCATCGTCTTCCCGGTGCCAGGCGGCCCAAAGAGCAGCATTCCACGAGCCGGCTCGCGAAGCCCCATGAATAGGTCGGGCCTCAAAAAGGGGTAGACCACGGTCTCTCGCAACGCATTCTTTGCAATTTCCAAACCAGCAATGTCTCCCCAGCGAACCTCATCGCCGTGCACAATAATGTCATTTAAAATTTGTTTTGCTGCCGCCTCATCGACGCCCGGTGGCAAGTTCTTCAGAATGGCGGCCTTCCTCCTCTTCCAAGCCGAGTCAGTGGAGCTCTCGTTTCCTGATTCTCGATCTGACGAGGTGTCGCGAGGAAGCAGTTTGGCGCCCGCCGCGTTGCGTTCCGCTGTCCTGGCTTGGGTGACAGCGGCCTCCAGCTCGTCGTTCGATGTACTTGATATAGAAGCATGCCGGTTCTTTGGTGGCTGACGCCGTCGCGCGCGATCTTCATTATTCGTACGAGGCTGTGGCGGTTTAACCGGTCGTCTGGCAATAGCTTTGCCGCGGGCTCTTGTTTCTGATGTATCCCTCTTGTCTGACTCCCCCGAGTCTTCCGCACCCCCGGAGCTGCTGGATCGGTGACGCCTTTGGGGTTTCCCTGGCGAAGCTATCGTGGCCGAGTGCTTTGAAGGCACCGGACGGCCTGACGATTGTTGGTCCACAGGATGGGGGTCCTGGGCTGACGAGTTCAACGCACTGGATGCTGCACTTACGGACAGCAGCGACGGCCGACCACGTGAGTATTCGTCAGAATGTCTAGGCGTGCCAATGGCTTGGGATCCGTTAGAAAAGTGATCGGGGTCGCGCGGTGTGACCAAGCGTCGAGAGTGGCTATCCCACTGGAAGTTTTGGGAAGGTCCGGGCCGAGGAAGGCCGTCGGAGGACTTGCGTGGAGAAAGGAACTGGCTGGCCGTGGCACCATCACTCGACGGTTTGAGGGCTCGTTCCCTCGAGCCAAGGGCCGTCCACGCGAGTGTGGCAGCTTTGCTGGGGCCCTCTGCGATAGGCTTCGGTGATATGCGTGCCGTCTTTTGGGGCTTTTCACCCATCCTACCAGACCGCAATGTAGTCCTCATGGTGTGCTTTTCCGGGCTGGGGGAACGGACGGCCTTGTCCGGGCGCGGAGGCAGCTTCGGCGAGTTGGTTCTGTGCAAATCGTTGTTTGACGACGAGGGGCCCAGGCGAGCACCGACGCTTGCACTCAAGCCGACCTCTGACGATGTCCGGGCAGGTAGCGAGGGCCTGCTGGGGATTGAGGGGCGCGAGAGTTCCGAATAGGTCACGGCGGGTATGGTGCCCTGGCCGATGGAGCCCTTGGTGCGGTCGACGGGACGATATGGCTCGGGGGGCGTCTTGGAGAGCCTGGTACCTGGGGACGGGGATGCTCCCTCGCTCCGTGACGCTCGGAGCGCCTCGAGAAGGTCGATTCTCTCCTTGCATTGCAGCTCCAGCTCGCGAAGGGCGTCGACGAGGGCCCTCTCGGTGTCCGTCTGCGGACCGTAGCCTGGCGCTGCCTTGGCGCGGTGCTCGTAGATTTGCTCGAGCGCACTCCTCCAGTGGCGCATCGCCTCGATCTCATCGCCCTGTGGTTCAACAAAACGTCAGTTGAAGACGGCGCCGGGGACGGGCAGCCTGGCACAAACCTGGCTTTCATAGTAGACGGCAGTCGAACAGCTGAGATAGCTGTCGTCATACGTCTTCTGGAGGACGGTGAAGGCCTTGTTGCGCAACATGGCCTTCACTGCAGATTCATAGCCGTGCGTGGGATCATGTGTTGTCGTCGTAATTCTTTGGCCGAGGACGGGACGAGGGCAGCCGGGGACGAGCGGCTGTGGTGTACGAGTCTTGGCGCAGCTGGTGGCTCTGACGTCGACGCCCACATGTGTGCTGGTGCCGACGCGTGTGGTATAGCGAGTGGAGGTACCTGGGCCCGCCCGATCGCAGTGCCTACAGCGCGGTTCAGATGTGGGCGCCGCAGGCGACCGATAGCGAGACACGGATCCTGCCCGGCGCCGCGCAGACCGCCCAAGCTGAGGCACCGTCCCGGAATGGAACGGGTACCCCGCTAATACCAGCCGCGCCGCGCCGCCATAGATAAGTACCTCTAATAAGGTGCCCAGTGGATGACGCCGCTGCACTGAGGTGAGGTAATACCTGCTGCCCGGGCTGGTACTTTGGGCGCCACCAAGTGCCTCACAGAGGTTCTCAGGTTCCATTCCAGGTTCCATCCCATGGAGTCTTGGAACTTCCTTCTCCAGGGCAAAGCTGAGCCCCCCAGTGAGGTAAGGCGGGGCTGACCGGAGGCTACCTACGAAGTACGAGACAGCATCAGCGGACAAGAAACATTCCATGGAGCCTGTCTTCCCAGCCCGCCTGCAAGTCCAACTACCGGGACCCCCGCGGGTACCGTGGCATGCTCAAGGTATTAATCCTAGTCCTATTCTAGCAGTTGCGCAGGTGTCGTCTATCATGGCAATTGATCTCATCCTCCCCTGCGCACACTACACAAGGTTTCGGGGTCCCGAATGTCTGTGACTGTAAATCTTAGAAAGCTTCCTCGACTGTTCCGAACTTTACTGACCGCAAATTGGCTCCGTGACCCGACCAAGAAGCCCCGAGGCCTGGCTTGCCAGTTCCTGCGGGCACCTGTTGGGTTAGCGAGTCTCCTCCCCTACAGCACGCCTTAAACGGCACAGCGTATCTTGGCCACTTTGGATGATTGCGGGCGCAGCGACGGATTTCACGGAGCCAAAGGACAGAGCTAGGGTAAGCCTACAAGTCAAGTCCTGTTCACGTTGCCGACGCACCTCGCACGTAAATGGGCTTGTGGATCGTGACGTGGTGCACGCTATACGCATTCAAGCTCAAGATGACTATGCTGGGGAAGGCTAGGCCCAGCATAGCTGACACGCGGGTTCTCTTGCTCCATGATCAAGACAGTAGTACCCGCATCTCAGCCGTTGTGCGAGGAAACACTGACCTGAGCCCAAGCTCATCCGCTCCTTGCGACACATCCCGATCGTCAATCTTTTCAATTTCCAGCTCCAAATCTCTGAAATCGCGGCAGAATCGACTCGCGGCTTCCTCTGTGGCATGCCGAGCCAGCGTCGTATCCTGAAGTCGCTTCAGTCTCTCCATTGCGTCCATCATCGCCGATGGCAGGAAATCGTCCAGTTGCTGGCTTGCCCGCGCGAGTGCGTCTTTGGTCAGATGCTTCGCCCCGCTCTCAAAACGTCCCTCCCCGCGGCTACCTAGCAAAGGCCCAAGCCCCGAGCTGGTGCAGAAGAAGAGATGTTGGTCGCCAACAAGGTCTTCTAACTCGTGCTCTATGCTCTGTCGGAGGCGAGTCGCACGCTGCTTGGTGAAGTCAAATACCTCGAGACACTTGATTGCGGCACGCCTGCAGTTTATCAGGAATATTGCGTCACCCGGTGCCTGGAGTGGGCGCGCCATATTCTCACAGCCAGCCAAGAAAGGCTCAAAAGCTTCGGCTAAGACGTCTTTGAAATCACTCTCGCGATCCTCCGCGGCAGACAAAGAGGATTCGTATGTCTTCATGATCGTACCCAACTGCCTCAGCGCATCAGAGAGGAACGCCGGAGGTCCAAGATCGGGTGGCGCGTGTTGGAACTCCCCTTGCAGGGCAGCGATGTGGTCCCTGACCAGCGAGCGATACTGTCGTAGAGCTTCTTCCTCGAGGCTGGCGGCGCAGTCAACGAGGCCGGCCTTGGGTCCCAGAAGCTTGTGGAACGTAATTCGGTAGAATTTGATGAGCATGGCCAGCTTGTAGGCGGTGATGGTCTCCTCATTGGATCGAATGACCTGCTCAACGCGTTGTCGAAGTGCCCTCGCCGCACCGGCCACATTTCGATCGACCAGATCTCCCAGAGCCTTGAGTGCGTTGAAGTCGTCCTGATTCTCGTCGTCATCTTCTATCACAAGACGCCAGATTTCAGCGTCCCGTCCAGATCTGAGACCTTCGGCAAGTTCATCCCCTTCGGCGACGAACAAAACCTCGAGAGCTTCGCGCTCACTAACAGTAGCAGAATGAACCCAAGCAAGCATGTCGCCAACGTAGCGAAGGGGATCGTGGGCTGTCAAATCAATGGGCTTTATAGACGGCTCCTCCGCCCCGGAAGCGTTGGTGCCAGTCAACGCGACCTGGAACGAATCTGACAAGATGCGATCTCGGGCCTCGGCAAAGAAATCCAGGCAATTCTGGAACAGAGATGGTCGTCCAGCCAGAACGCGAAGTGCCCTCCTGATGGAGGTGTTCATCTGCGGATTCTCCAAGTTCAGTGTCTTGAACTCCCGCTGGACCCATTTGTATAGCTTTTGGAAGCCGAAGTTGATGTTCTTAGAAGACTGTTCCATTAAATCCGAGCCGAGTGTCTGCCGTTCGAAGCCGAGCAAGATTTCGCAGTTCTGACTTATACTTTTTGCCTTTGAGAGAGCATCGAAGAACCTGTCATCTACTGGCTCAGCAGTTGACGTCAATGAGGCGACCTCGTCATCCGACATCAAGAAGTGGTCCTTGAATGTGGCAAGTACTCGCTGCTTTGTCTCCACCTGCTCCCGCTGCTCGAGTAGCGATGCAGACTCCAGCATGGCGGGAGAGGTCTCTTTGTGGGCGTCGAGAACCTCATTCTTCATTTTGTCATATCCGGCATTCAGTTTTCCTAGTGTTGTCCGTATCTGACGCAGTTGCTAGGTAGGCTGTCAGAACAAATGCAACCATGACCGCATACTTGGGTGGAGTGCACTCACGTCGGCGACTCGCCCGAATTCATCAACGATAAGGCTGTTGCTAGAAATGACCTCCTTGTGAACATCTAGTCGAATGCGGCGCCTCGTTCTGGCATCGTTGCCAACGCCGCGCTCATCGAGTAGAGCCAGTGCTTCGCGAAAGTCTGCATCGGAATACGAGGTAGACAAGACGGTTGACAGCTTGGTCGTAAGAGGATTGTTGCCTCTGGATGATGAAGGTGTCGGGTGTGACACCGGCGAGAGAGTCCCTGGGCCGGATGTGCCCTGGGTGAAGCCGTCGAGGGCCAAGTACGAGTCGAGAGCCATGGTCTAACGAGTGTCTTCTGGCGGGATGGCCCGGTTACTGTGTCCGCGGAAGCCTGGTCTTGCGCTGGCAAGAGCATACGGTGTGAGATGTGAGCCCAGATGCCAGGGTAGAGTGTTGTTTGCTAGTGGAGGCTGCCGCATTGAGTGAGGTTTTGGGCGAGAGAAACGTAGGAAGCACGGTCTGGGGCCACCCAGAGCTTCGCCACAGAGAGTGGCTCAGTAGCCAACTATTACCGAATTACCTTTAGTATTGATCAATCAGTTGGGATTCGCCAAGCATACCTTGGGTTGGCTGCATGTCAGGGGCGGGAATGCTCTCGAGGTGAAGATGCGTGGATGGTACTGAGCTCGTAACCGTGGCGTGGCAAGATGTGAAATCGAAGGATACCTACTCCGTACATAATAGGTAGGTACCTTACCTGGAGTCTCAGGTACTTTAACCCTGAGTAGGTACCTAGTAATACCTAAGCCAGTATTCTGATGGGCCGGGTCTTGCAGCCACTCCACAGACATGTACCTAGTACCTACCAGTATCTGTGCCAGATTGCCTGTGGTTCGCTACTTACCTAGGTACCTACTTAGTACCTAGTAACTACCTTAAATGCCTTCAGCGAGGCACTGCCTACAGTACTAGGTACCTAGTACCTCGCAGGTAAGGTGTAAAGAATTTGGCAATGTTGGAGCTTTCGGTGCCCGCCAGTAGCACCTGTGCAAGTTCCGCGAACCTCTATCCTCTGCCGCAACATCCGTGGGTGCATTCAGGTTTCTTTTTTTGTTTTGTTTTTTGGCCCCTGCAATGACTACTTGATGCCGCAAGCTGTGTTTGCGGCAAACCGTCGTACCAGGCGTGTGGCCCACGCTAATAACCTGAAAGTCATCCGCTGGAGCTCCCCTCCCTCCAGGCACCCCACGGTCGCACGTTGTGGGTCCCGACGCGCCTGACCCCAGGCTCTCGGAGGTAGTAGTCACCTGCTGTCGTCATTCGCTCAGGCCGGCAGCTCGACCATGTGCACGTGGACTTCACTGCTATAGTTTCCCAGTACTTGCTGCCTTTGCCTCGCCAACCTGACTTCTTCTTTATCCATTCTATATACTGTTGCTGCCGTATCTCAAGGTGACATAGGACTGGGGACGACCGCTGACCATCAGAATACCGATTCCCGGCGATTTTGAGGCAGCTCTCTAAACCCTGGGCTGGAGGCTGGCGAAGCGACGGCTCTGCATTGTGCAGCTCGACCATCTGCCTGGACCGAACCCTACCATCCCCGCCTGCTGCTCTCTCACGACGGGTGGCCATCTCTTTCAAGCCGCTCGCTTGTGTATGCGCGACAACCGACTGATGGCGTCTCATTCTCGCTGACGACTGCCTCGCTATCGTGTCCGCGCCCACAGACGCGCGGACGTCTGGCTCTCTGCGACAACGCCTCGTCCACAAGCATCGACTGTCCTTGCGCGTCTGTGCTGCCCCCACGCCATCCAGCAGACGAGGCGCTCACAAGTAGCGCTGGAACGACGTACGACCGAGGTACCGGTTTGGCATGGCGTCAAATCTATTCAGCCGCTTCACTCCGCCCTCTGGAACGGCTCGGTCCTTCTACGAAGAGCTGCGAGCCCATGACGAAACCGGTGACGATGGTGATGGCAGTCGCGACTTAGAAGAGGGCAATGGCCTCAACGTCGACGAAGAAAATCTCCGACATCAGTTTCACGGTCTCGGGGCCGAAGGGCTCAATCCCGGCGATAGCCGCATGACCGTCGACAGCGCTACTGTGTACGGCGCTGACCAGCTGGGCAAGGCAACGAGAGAACATCCCGTTCGGAGTGGAAACGCGGGGCACTGGTTTCCGCACGAAGAAGACCCCGACAACGACGTGCCGGAATCACTGTTGGTCGAGCCCAACGAAGCTGCAACGGCGCGAAGAACGGATGACGAGCGGTCCGACCGCCCATCGCCGACACGAAACCCACACACAGCGAACCGTAGCGGGCGATCACAGATGCTGTGGGATGCCGCGACTGCGCAGCAGCGTCTCCACCGAGAAGATGGCTACCGCCGTGCGCCAGCTCAGCCCAGAAGGTCTGGCCCTGCCGCGTTTGCTGGCGGTAGGCGGGAAAGGGCGCTGTGGCGATGGGTCAACACTTCGAACCTCGACAGCTTCATGCGGGACGTGTACGACTACTATGAAGGCGGCGGACTGCTGTGCATTCTGTGTGCGAATGCTCTGTGGCTTCTGTCAGTCCCAAGGCTAAAAACCAGCTCTGAGTTAAGGTGCCATGTACTGACTCTTGGCAGGGAAACGCTGTTCGTTGCAGTGCTGCTGACGTTCCTCAGCCAATGTGTCGATTACAGCAAGGTTCCTCACAGTAAATCGTTAAGTCAAGTCGTGATTCCGCAGTGCACGCGCAATATGTCCGGCGTGTGGAATCTCGGCATCTGGCTATACTCCTTCTTTTTTATCTGGAAGTCAGTACAGTACTTCTTCGAAATCCGCCGGCTCATCTACGTTCGCGATTTCTACGTACACCTTCTGGAGATACCTGAGCCGGATATGCAAACTGTTTCCTGGCAAGATGTGGTCGCCAGGATAATGACCCTCCGGGACCAGAACCCCAAGACGGCCACAAACATCCCTTCGAACCTGCGTCGATATATTGGGAGCCAGTCCAAAGAGAGACTCGATGCTCACGACATAGCGAACCGATTAATGCGGAAGGACAACTATCTCATCGCGATGATAAACAAGGATATACTCAACTTGTCGCTCCCATTGCCGTTTCTACGAGGAAGGCAGCTATTTTCGAAGACGATGGAGTGGTATCTGCACTACGGTATCTTGGACATGGCTTTCAACGAGCGTGGCCAGGTCCGTCAGGACTTCCTTCGAGCTGATCGAAGGGGCATCCTCAGCCAGAAGCTGAAGCAAAGGCTGTACTTTGCTGGTTTTCTTAACCTCATATTCGCACCAGTCGTGCTCGCGTACGTGGTGATAGTGTATTTCTTCACGTACTATCATGTAAGCTGCGTGCTTGCCCGCTGGCATAATCCCCCAGATGCTGCGATGCCACCCTCGCTCGAGAACAAAGCTTACTTGGTTGGCAGGAGTACCAAAAAGACCCGAAGCTGGCAACCGCACGGAAATACACTGCTCTCGCTGAATGGAAATTTAGAGAGTTCAACGAGTTGCCTCACATATTTTATGAGAGACTCCACATGTCGTTCCCGTTTGCGACGCGGTACATTGATCAATTTCCAAAGCGCATGACGGAGGAGATCGCCAGAAGCATCGCTTTCATGTCCGGGGCGATAATGGCGGTATTGGCCGTTTGCACAGTCCTCGACTCCGAGCTATTCCTTGGCTTTGAAATAACCAAGGATAGGACGGTGCTCTTCTACCTGGGAGTGTTTGGGGGTATCTGGGCCCTGACCAGAGGCATGGTCTCGGAAGAGACGAGCGTCTTCAACCCAGAGTACGCTCTGCGGAACGTCATCGAGTACACACATTACATGCCCGACCACTGGCGCGGTCGCCTGCACAGTTTCGAGGTGAAGCAAGAATTCTCGGAATTGTACAAGATGAAGGTCGTGATATTCCTGGAGGAAGTGATGGGCATTATTACAACGCCCATGCTGCTACTCTTCTCGCTCCCGAAATGTAGCGAGCAAATTGTCGACTTCTTCCGCGAGTTCACCATCCACGTGGACGGACTGGGGTACGTGTGTTCTTTTGCGGTCTTTGACTTCAGGAGAGGGGTTGGGAATACCGGCCAGCAAGGCCCCGGACAGGACGTGCGGGAGGACTACTATTCCACCAAGCACGGCAAGATGGCCGCCTCATACTATGGATTCCTCGACAACTACGTCATTAATCCGAAGACGGGTATCCCCGGGCACATGCCGCCAGGTATGCGCCAACAATTCCACCCTCCGCCGACCTTCCCCAGTCTCAACTCACCGACACTCGCCGCCGATATACAAGGATCATCGCCAAACCGCCCAGCGGAATCTGGTCGCACCCGCACGAGAGTGGCGGGGGCAGGGGCAGGGGCAGGAGCAGGAACAGGAACGTCGCGCGCGTCGCGCCTGGGAATGGGCATAGCACAACCGTCACCGATGGCATCAGTACTTCTAGACCCTCATCACCAGCCCGGATTTGGCGCAAGGAGCCAACATCGACCCAGGGCTTCCCGGCAGGGTCATCGAATGGACAGCCAGATCATCGAGGAAAGTCTCGAGGATGGTGAAGCAGGCTCTGTGCCCGGGAGGTCAGAAGACTCGTATGAGGGCGATGGGATGCTAGGTGAATCCGCATGGGAGACCTCACCCGGCAAAGGGCTGAGCCGGGAAAACAGTGCGGCCAATGCCGAAGAGCTTGACGAGGGAGTACTGGGCCTCCTGTACCAACTGCGACAGACGCAGCACAATCGGCGCGGAGGCGTTGTCTGATGGCAGGCCGCGAATGGGAGCCGCTGCAGCCCGATGCCGCAATATGTGTTGGAAGTAGGAGCACCGGGAACTTCTCTTGTGTCATGCCAAACGGCATATCCGCTTCCGACGGAGACGTGCCTTTCCGTACGGAAGCAGACAAACCGGCTTACGAGGTGGAAGCTTCTATAGCAGCGTTTGGATAACGTTTGCTATTCGGGTTGTCTACGAGCTCTACTTAAGAGAGAGACTCTTCTGTAGTCTGGCTAGCTCTTCATGCAGATTAGCCACAATCAACAATATGCGGCCTTGACGAAAGGGTCCTGCACGATAGCATCCGATTCGCTTGCCGGGCTCCTAGAGGCGGCGTGGACAAAGAGTAGGACCGAAGTGAAGCAAGGCCATCAAACCCAGGACTCAAGTCGGCGCACGAGGCCCTCGTCATTTCTGAGGCGACATGCGACGGCCATGGGAGGGTCGTGAGGAAGGCCGAATAGACTCCGAGCTGTTGTCGGCTGGTCGGTGATACGATGACGAGCGTGGATTAGAGCCCTTGGGGTCCTCTCTGACTGGGGGTCGACTAGCCCCTGAGTGAACGAGGCGGCAGAATACCACTACCATCACATCACTGCAGCTTATCTCAAAGGTGCACTGTCGTGCGGGTGATGCACAGATCTAGTCGCTGACTGAACTCATCGCACATGTCCCAGTCGTGCCCACGCCTCGTGCCAGTGGCGTCTTGCGGCGGCGCGTACACAGGTGTTAGGTACCGAGAAGGGATCCAGAGCCAGAGATGGGAATCCCGCAGCGGCCGAGGGGGGAGGGGGGCTTGCACTCTCGGCACATGCGGCTTGACGGGCGCCTGTCTGGACACTGTGCGCGGACACCGACGGCGCTTGTCTGTCCCGCGCCGAGCAGGCCGGGCAGCGTGGGAGCGCGCCACGGCCCAAAGCCACAGCGACTTCGCGGCGCTAAGTGAGGGGCCCTTCAGGGCGCCCGACGGGCTGTTTGCCCCAGGCAGGGCGCCATAGGTGCCTGCCGCCAAGCCACCAGCCCAGTGTAGACCAGCAGCGGCTTCACACTGTCCCAGACACTCTGGCGCCGGCCGGACTCCGAGGCCGTGAACGGAGCGCCGCGACGGGAAATTTTTGTCTGCCATCCCAGCAGACATCATCATCGACTTCGCCGAGGTGCATCATCCCGCGCCCTTCCTCCACATTGCGACGGCACGACTCGACTCCTCATCCCGCCCTCGACCATCGCAATCCCCTGCAGTCCGCGCCGACGTCGACACGACGAATTGACATTAACGCCTCCGAGCGTACGAACCGACCTCCCTCCGCGGCTGGTCCTCGGCCTCGCCACAGGCGCCCGCGTCGACAGCTTTCCTCGCCGCACTGCTGCTCCTGCGTTTTCCAGCCGTCCACGGCCACGAACAGCGCCCAGCGCCCCCGGCGTAGCCAAATCCCCACGAACTCGCGTGGCTTGAGCCGCCGCCGCAGTCACCCTGGCTGCTCTCGAACCCAAGGCCTTCGGCAGAGCTTCTGAAGCTGTGGCCGAAATGGCCCAGCCAAGTGCCGAGCCGGTCGAGGACTATGAGTGAGCCTCTCCATCCTGCTCACAGCCTCATGCGTTTGCACCGCTCTGACAAACTTGCCTGGCAGCTACGAATCGCTCCCTCCCAACTTCTCCCTGCTCCAGAACATGGCGGCGGGGGCCTTCGCTGGCATTGCTGTATGTAACTCATGGCCTCGCATGCTTACTCCTTTCTGAGCGGTGCCGGAGTCAACCGAGCTTGGACAGACGCCGCTGTTCCTCCTCGCCGCAGTTTGACTGACCCGACATCTTAGGAGCACACTGCCATGTATCCCGTCGATGCGATAAAGGTACCGTTGCCGTCAGCTCCCTGCAGCCCTTGGCTCTATCACGTGTCATGAGCTACTATGTTCTGCCTATCCTGGTTTTGGTGCATCTCTTGTTGACCAGATGTTCCCGTTAGACCCGAATGCAAGTCCTCAATCCCAACACGACAACGGCATACACAGGCGTTCTGCGCAGCACCTATCAAATAGCATCGGGCGAGGGCTTCTTTAGCTTGTGGCGAGGCATGTCCAGTGTCATCGTTGGAGCCGGTAAGCTACCGCAATATCAATTCGCTCTCCTGTTTCAGTCTCTGATCTCAACGATTGCAGGCCCAGCACACGCTGTCTACTTTGCTACGTACGAAGCTGTCAAGCACGCCATGGGAGGCAACCAGGCGGGAGTTCATCATCCTCTGGCAGCGGGTAGGTCCTATCGTTCTTCTCTCCGAGCTTATCATGCTTGAAAGTCGACCATTCGGCCTAACGATCACTACCACCACAGCTACCAGCGGAGCTGCCGCAACCATCGCCAGCGATGCCTTTATGAATCCTTTCGATGGTATGTAGCAAAATCGCCGAATGACATGCATTACTCGGGTGGGTGAAAGCTAATGCCAAGAACCACTCAGTCATCAAGCAGCGCATGCAGATTCAAAATTCGAGCAAAATGTACCGGTCGATGGTCGACTGCGCCAAGTATGTCTACAAAAATGAGGGCATTGGCGCTTTTTATATCTCGTATCCGACCACGCTTTCCATGACCGTACCCTTCACCGCACTCCAGTTCTTGGCCTATGAGTCCATCTCGACTGCCATGAACCCGCAGAAGAATTACGACCCCATGACTCACTGTCTGGCTGGAGCTGTCGCAGGAGGCTTTGCCGCTGGTCTCACAACGCCGATGGATGTAATCAAGACGATATTACAGACCAAGGGCACGTCTTCGGACCCTCAGGTCCGGAATGTCAACAGCTTTCTCGGCGGCTGCCAGCTTCTGTACCGGCGGGAGGGCTTCCGTGGCTTCTTCAAGGGTGTTCGTCCCCGGGTCGTCACAACCATGCCCAGCACAGCCATCTGCTGGTCGGCATATGAGTTTTCAAAGTATGTTACGCTTGTTGCGAGTGGCGGTCGCCGTGTCCCGAGACAGCCTCTGACTGACATCTTGTAGGGCGTACTTCATCAAGCGCAATGACACGCTGTGAGTGTGTGGAGGAGAATTACCAGGGGTCGATCGAGCCAGCGAATCAATTCGCCAATTCGGCCTGCGCAGTGACCTAGATCGAGCCGGCAGGCGGAAGAGACCATTTACCTACCTTTTATCCAGTGTTTTACATATCGACCTTTAACCATTTTGACGAACGGCACCTGGCGAAGGAGCCTTGTGGTCTCGGGCAAGCGGGGAAGGGGAGTCTTCACCGCAGCGGGAATGTATATAGAATGTCGGAACACAGCGGCGGGGTCATGGGGAGGACGCGGTGGCAGCGGCAGCGGCAGGTCGCTTGCGGATTAAGAGGCGTGGGCGAATTGTTGGAAATAGCCGTGTTCACATATAAGCGGCGGCGCGATCAACCCCTTGCTTGGGCGGCTGTTCTGTATTTCGATCTCGACTTAAGCCGTGTCGCGCTTTGCATGTCCACATCGACCACGTATTTCAATGGCACCTTGCCTGGTCTCACACACAGGGTCACTGTTCCTGGCCTGGTTTACAACCAGCAGACGTGCAAGAGCTGAAATCGTCGCGGAGATGGCCCGAGGCCCGGCGCGTTGGTTTAGTATTCCTCGCCTAAAGGGACGACGCCCCAATCAAAAAAAAAAAAAAACGCTGCTCTTGACAAATGAAACCCAAAAGGTGCATCAATAAAACAGCCGTTTTGCCAGATGTGCTCAAAACCCGAAAGGCCCGCCGCCGCCGCCGCCACCAAAATGGAACTTGAAGTTGGCCTGAGGCCCGCCTTGCTGATGGAACATGAAAGGGTGCCCGCCTCCGAACGGATTTCCCTGGAAGGGACTACCCGTCTCCTGCGAGTTTGGATCGTCTCCTCTGTCGAATCGAGCCCGAAGCTCAGGATTGCTAAGCACCTCATATGCCTCGTTGATGGAGGCCATCTTCTTCTCCGCCTCTTCTTTACTAACCCCTTGTTTGGCGGCCTTGTCAGGGTGAAACTGTTTTGACGCCTTCCGGTATGCTGACTTGATCTGCTTCTCGTCCGCGTCGTTCGCAACCCCGAGAACCTTGTAATAGTCCTTGGATTTGCTCCGTTTCAAAGCGATCTGGGCCTTGTTTAAGATGGGGTTGACTTTGTCCTGCTTGTCTGGTCGGACCTCAGCCGCTTTCTCGAGCGTTCGGATTGCGGCCTCGAATTCCTCCTTCTTTAGTAGGGCTTTTCCCTTGTGCATGAGACCCCAGAACGAGTCGGCGTCCAGCTCGAGAGCTTCTTCGCAATACTTGGCGGCATCCTTATGATTTGACTAAAGCGGGATAGGCGTCAGCTGTTGCGTTCTATATGGCGGTGCATCGGCAGATATCCCCTGAAGCTAAGGGACTGACTGCCCGGATTGTAGGAAAGGCACTTACTTCTGAATACGCTTGGCAGGTCATCTCCACTGCCATTTCATATAGACGTGCGCGCGCCTTTGGAGGGATCCTCCCCTCCTTGCGAAGGTCTTCGACTTGGTCCCGAATGATGGAAACCAGACCAGGTTCTTCTGCTGTGCCGACAAGGGAGCGTCCAGCCGTAGTTGTTTGACCCCTGTTGATCTGCGCCTCCGCTTTGCTGTACGACTTCTGAACAGCCTTCTGCTGCCTGTGGAGCTTTTTGCACACCTTGGAGTCTGGGTCCGAGTGCAGACACTTTCTGATTTGGGTGAGCCCGTGATCGAAATCCCCCAGGCCGTAAAAGGTTGTTGCGGAGATAAGGAGGTGAGGGTTTGTGTCGCCAGGGCGCAGATGCAGGACATGTTGCAGGTCGCCCATGCCCTCTTCGACCTCGCCTCGCTCGAAGCGACAGCGGGCGCGGAGCTCACGCAGAGAGGGGGCTCTGGACGCGACGAGGATCGCGACGCCAGCCTGAATTACACAGTCGTCCCATTGCTGTGCCTCAAGGGCGCTCGCGGCGAGAACTGCGGCGCCCTCGGCCTCGGTAAGCTCTGTGAGCTCGGGCGAGTCCGGGTCCTTGCTGGCAGCAACGTACTCGGCCCTGGCGGCGGACCAGTCGGCGACTTTGGCCTTGATCTTCCCCAGCTGTAGGTGAGCACCCTGGAAGCCGGGCTTGAGGGCAAGGACCCTGTTGAAGTCGTCGGTCGCTTGGCTGGAGCGGCCGAGCGACAGGTAGGTGGTTGCGCGCTTGAAGAGGGTCAGGTAGTTGTTGGGGTCCCTGGCAACAGCGGCGTCGTAGTAGACGAGGGCGTCGCTCGTCTCTCCCTTGGCCAGATGGGTCTGCGCCGACGTCAAGAGCGCAGATACGGGCAAGTCAGCCGGGATGTCATGGGGCGAGACGGCTTGGCCAGCAGAGGCCAGCGCCGTCACAGCGGCGAGGCTGGACAAGCAGAGACGCATGCTGCCGTTTCAATCAATCGCTCGCCGCGCCTCTTGGTCGCCGGGGAGAAGAGGTCTCGAGATGTCGTGTGCGACTGAGCAGCCAAGGACGACGCCGAGACGAGGATATGGCGAAACGGAGCGGCGAGTGCTGCCGGGCGGCGAGTGTGCGACCCGGCGCGGGTCCGAGGTCGCAAAAATGCAGGCGCCGAAAGAAAGATGCGCAGCTGAGAATCCAATGGGATAAAGGGCGGAGGAGGGAGTGGAAGAAGGACGAGCAAGGGAAACGGGGTACGCGGCGTGGCTGTCGGAGGCGTTCTTGAAGTGATGAACAGAACGCGACGTTGGACGTTGAGGATGGCTAGCAACACCCAGAAGCGCAAGGAAGTTTAAGTGGGCCCCTCGTCGCGACAAGTGCCCACGCTGTCCTTTTGTCGATGGGCTGGGGTAGTGGGTACCTCAGGTACACGGTTCTGTACACGTCGGTATTGCGCACTCGTACGTCGCACCTGGTACGGCACCCATCTAGCACTACCCTACTCCGTATATTTGGCCGATCAAGTGAAGTGCTCCGTTGCTGATTGACCTTGGGGCGGGAGAGTCGGAGGTGCCTGTGCGAGTCACTTCATGTACTTGCGGCAAGCACGCATACACGCCTATTTGTACTGACTACCTAGGTATGCACCCTACCAGTCCCAGTAACCGCCCTTGGGGCACGAGGTCATGGACGTGTCCATACTACGTTAGTAGTACCAGGGACCTTGAAGACTGTAGCTGAGGTCACTTGGCAAAATACAGGGTACCTTGGCTGTCGAGGAATCCCAGCATTATATCAGTCAGTACAGCGCTGCTGCAGCCACGTCAAGACGTCGCCTGCGACATTCATCCGCCAGTGCGTTCGGGAAGCCGCAGTAGTTCATCTGCTACCTAGGCATCCTTGTCCAGGCACCCGAGGTGATCAGCTCCGACGTGCCAACAACCCGCAACTCCACTCCGAAGCCGCGCGCGGCTATGCCAACAGGCATGTTCCGTCAACAATTGCTCCAGTTGGTTCAAGCGCCCCGGCGTTCAGCTCAAGTGCCGATGCGTCCAAGAGGTGCCCCGGTCAGTGCAGTGCTCGCATGTACCTTTCAGGTAGTTAGTTACCTGCCTGCAGAAACCTGCTGACCCCTGCGTCGCGGGTGACCCGCCACGCTGAGGTGCAAAGTACCTAGGTACCTACCTACCTTACGTGCCAGCCAAATACCTGCGCAGTAACCCTGGAACAGGAGGCGCAGGCACCCAACTGGCCAGGACGCAGTGCCTCGACGACATCAACAAACTCCAACCGCGTGTGTCATTGAACAGCAACAC